CTTCTAATGTGAGTAGGAGCCCCTGCTGCCAGTAAGCGTCCACAAAGCTTGTCTTTATCTTTTGCACTTAGATATGGCCCAATTACTCAGCTGTTGGTGTTGGAACTGTGGTGCACTGTGATATAAATAAATGTATTCATGTCAGTGTCCAGTTCTTTAAAAAATGAATTTCTTTCACACCCTTTGCTTAACAAGAAGTTGAATGCTGTGCCTCTCTGCATAGTGGCTTTCATGGAGTGTTCATTTTTAAGGACTTATCAGAAATCTTCACAGAGGAAAAGCGCTCCGGGAAAAGAAAAGCTCTCAGTTTAAAGCAAGGCTTAACTTGGGGCAGGAACTGACAAAGTCTGCAAAAGCTGAAAGCGACTTGTGTTCAACACAAATTGCTGGGGATTCACGGTGGTGTGAATGAAGTGCTGATCTTGTGGGGTACGGTGGCATGAAAATGATATGTTTTATTGCTCCTTGTGTATGTCTCTCTCATTCTGATCAATAATGTGAATTATCTTCAGATGGCACCTGCTGGTATGATTTTGTTTTGTTGGTTTGTTTTGTTGTTGTGTGGGTTTTGGTTTTTTTTTTTTTTTTTGAAGGGGAGGTGGACCAGGGAGGAGAGTTTTCCAGATATCCCACTTTGTCTGGAAATGATGCTGGGCTAGCAATGCTAGGTGTCTGTCTGAAGGCAGGTCTCTGTAAGAAGTCTGGTGCTCAAAAGTAAAAACTCCCGTTATGCAAAGTCCAGTTTTCTGAAAATGGAGCTTCTTCGTGGAGTCTCAGCTGTGGCACCCAGGAAAAGAAATAGTATCTAAGATCATGAAGAGTGTTTAATAAATTGACAGTCCTAACACCCAGGAGGGTTAACAGCAGCTTAATATGGTCAGCATCAGCACTAGGCTGTCAAAAATCATGAGGATGGGATTACCATCACTGAAGGGAAAGCTCCTCTTTTTGTTGTGGAACCAGGGTGTTTATTTTCATGGGTGCTTCAAAATCCTGTGCCCAACAGAGGCTGGGATAACAAGCTGGGGAGATACTTTTCTTTTGTTTTGTTTTTTATTTCTTTACAGTCTCCTTGACAATGGTTTGCTATGTGCAGTTGTGCTCTTACTGTGTGCGTGCAGCCTAAACGTCAATGGCCAGCAATGAATTTCTCTGCTCTTAAAAGTATATGCAGCCTTCTTCCAGTTTTCTGAAGGTGCCGTCTCCTGTAGTGGGTGGGTGTAGCTGAGTGCAAGCAGGTTGTTTTGCATACTGTAACATGATATCGATTAATCTTAAAAGATCTGGCTCATCTTCCTTGACATTCAGACCATCAAAGGGGTGAACACTTGTCAGTGCCTGTAGCTATGCCTGCTTCAACTGGGCATAAAGACTTGCAGTATTATATAGTATTATTTAAAAACGTTATTTATACTGTACAGAATCTTATTTCTGCCTCTAGACATCACTTTGGAGCATAAAAGTCTCTGATTTCCAGTTTAAAGTAATTACCAGTTGCAGGTTATTGAAATACAAGATACAGTCCCCGTTTATTGGATGAGTGCAGACGGAAATGCTTGGTAGAAGTGATGCCATTTTTCATGTTTGTCAGGTTTTTGTGTGCAAAGCAATAGAGCTGTTTCTCTAAATGGCTGGATGATTTTTCGTTTTATTTTTTTTCCTCCCTTCTCTTTCAAGTGTGATATTCTGGGGAAAGGTTGAAGTCTGTTATAGAGAATATGTAGTAAAAATGATTTTATTCATCCCACTGTAGTATATAGCTCTTCTTAATAGTCATAGGGTTATTGTTTGGTTTTATGCATCAGTTTTCTTCTTAGCTTTGTAGCTTTTCTTTACCCAAAGAAGAGTTACGATTTCAGTCTCTTATGCCCATTTGGCCCGTGCACTACAGTGGGCAGTAGTTAAGCTAAGTTAACTTTAGACAGTAATATTCTGGGAATTCATGGCTTGTCTGGTGAGCTGTGCGCTATGGGAGCCTGCAAAAACGTGACTGATCATATATGAGGCTGATAGGGCTCCTGCCTATCTAAAATTATTTAGTATGTTAATGTGCTCTCAAGCATATGAGAGTGTTTTCATGATAGTTCAGGGCTTCTTGCTATGAATATTTGGGCCAGATATTAACTTAATATACTTCTGATCATAAGAGCTTCTTAGCTGAAGCGTGTTATTCTCAGTAGCGTGTGTGTGTGTGTATAGTCACTGTTTTGTATTAAAATTGTATCTGTAATTGCCAGCTCTTCAACTTCAGTCTTTCAGCTGTTTGTTTTCCAGCACCACAAAGGCACCCGTCTGTATTATCTGCTATAGACTTGCAGGTTTCCAGTGAACTGATTCAGGGTTTGCTGATTCTTGAGGATTTGTATGAGCCAAATAGTCTTGCAGGAGGAAAGAAAAGGGGGATATTTGGTTTGAAATACTCCATCAGTTAAATGTGAATAGTCAGGCTGCCATGCAGCCCTTGATACAGAAATTGTAGTGGAATTATGGGTACTCAGCCTCCACTGCGACAGTGGAGTAAGTCCGTGGCTTTGACCTGTCTGAAACAGTTAATTGCGACGATGCTTCTGTTTAGTTGGTTTTTTGCATGGTTTTCATCTGGAGAAAAGTTTGTCATCACAGATGTGCTGGGGTTATTGTATTTCTGACAATGTCTCCTTTTACTTCCTTAAGTGGATTTTAGGACTGTAAATCTTGAAATATTTACCTGGTTCCTGGTCATTGCCATTTTCAGTCGAGTAGGGAACCAGGTGGCTGCTTGCGTTTGGCACAGAGACAAGCTGAAGTGCTTCTGTTCTCTGAATATAATTTCAAAGCTTGGAGTAAAGACTCTACAAAGCAACCAAGAATGTTGCTTTCTCTGCTTCCCTTCAGGCAGTTTAAGAAGAAACAAATGGCAATTTTGCCCCAATAAAAGAATGTTAATAATGTGACATCTCAGATAATTCTTTTTTAAAATAAGATGTTACTTTATTGCTCTCCTTTCCCTATGCCCCCTTCTTGCTGTCACCCTCAAATCCTGCAGCAAGTTCAGGGTAACAACTTTATCTTTTCTGACAACACAATCTGGCATGAAAAAGAAATGGAGTCAGTTTTTAGTTGCATGGTGTCCTGCTGTGAGTTTTACAATAAGGAATGAGTCTGGTTCTGTGCTGTTGCTTCGTTCCTTTGGCCCTGCTCTTCACTGGATTGCGCTGCTGCTGAAATAGTAAAGGCTGTTCTGCACCTCAGGCTGATGGGTACGTGTGGTTACTGCATGATGTACTTGTCCGCAACCAGAAGGAAGGTGCAGGAACAGACCGGCCCTGTGGGGGCTGGGTGTTGTGTTAATGATGCTGTAGTGATGCTGTAGGTGCTGCCGTGGCGTTTCAGGGAACCGATGTTGTTGGTCACAGGTCATCCGTCTGCTGCACAGATAACAACTGCTTCTTGCTTTGCGTGCAATGGATGAACCACTGGGATTTTTATTTCAAGGGCATAGCAAGTGACAGACCTTTCTGAAGGGAAGAAATGCAACTTGGCTATGCTAGTGGTGCACCCTCCTCTGGTGCTGCTTTTGAAATCTGCTGTGGCATACGAGGATGTTTAAAGACTTTTTTTCTCCACCACTTAACATTGCAGCGAGGTGAGGTACCTCCACTCCCCAGTCCTTGAGCTCTGATTGCCTAATCACTGCTGGCATGCCGTAGGCTGATGCTTAATGTGCTTGGCATCTCTCCATGCCATCGTTCAGCTCGACACTGTCGTTCTCTGTTCCTTCTGCTAAATGCAGCACTTAATTTCCAAATCTGTGTGTCCCGAGGGTCAATCACCAGTGAAGTGATAGTTAATGTTACGCAGGAAATAATTTTAAGGAGGTGTGGATTTCCATGTGGCCAAAAAAGCTTCTTGTCATCCATTAATATTGGCTGCTGCAGCTCCTGCAGTATGATGGTTTCTGGCCATGCACCTGCATAGCTGTCTCTGTACAGATGAGGGTGTTTGTCCTTGGAAGTACAGATGCAAGAGGGTTAAGTGGTCTCCCAGCCTACTACTCCTCATACCGGTTTAGACCCCAGTACTTGGTTCAGAGCGCTCTGTGCACATCAAGCAAAAATGACCTTAAAATGGCCCCAAATCCACTCCTACTGCCCTCTCTTCTCTTCAATGGAAAGTAATCCCTTTCTCTTGATGAGGTTTCCCCTTCAAGGTGTCTTCTTGCAGCTACTCAGAAATATCCTAGGGGCTTCCTGCAGAGCATTACGGTTGTGGTGAGAGACAGCACTCATTGATAATCTATGCAAATAGTACTGCCCACACCATAAGCCTTTTGGGAAAAGGCTGGAGAAGTGCTGGTGCTTGCTGACAACCCAAGTAGTCCTATAGTGGCACTGGAAATCTGTACCACAAAAATTAGGCTATTTTAAACGAGAGCTGGTTAAACTAGTGGGAATATGTTGGAAGGTTGCCTGATAATGGCAAGATGACAGGGTTGTACTTCTGCTGGCTGTTTACGTATCTTCTGTGTTTATGCCGGGCAAGACTCCACAGCACTGAAATGCAAGAAGACTGTATTAGACTCTAAGGCTTTGTTTTGAAATGGATTTCTGTTTCGATGTGGTGCCAGAGAAAAACACCTTCTCTGGTTGCAGCATTGTTTCATAGAAATCACAAAAAAAAAGTGTTAATATGCAGGGGAAATACAAAACAGGCATTTGTTTTGCTTAATGAGTCCCAAAATACCTGGATGCAAATGAGTCTTCTATGCTGGTCTGCTGAAAAGACTCATGACAGTTAAATAGGTGACTTTCTTCGAGCAGTTAGGCTGTTACATACAGCAACTAATGAAAGAGTGAAGGACTTTTCTTGACAAAATACTCCAGTCTCAAACCTTTGAGTAAAACCGAAGTAAGTGACATGTGGCAAATACCAGCTTCACTAACCAAAAAGCATATGAACCAACAAAAAAACCTCCCGTCTCCCTGAAGCTAACTGTCTCAGGGCACAGCTGAGCACGGGTCATGCCAAACGGAACAGGAAATCGGCAAAGGTTTTTCACCTGCCGGGATCTAGGTGCAAGAGTGAAAGAGAATGAGGCAAGATCGTAAGATGACATAGTGTGTGATATGGGTGAAATACCAAATTTAAATGTATGGACATTCAGGACAATCCAAAATAAATTTGCTTTTGGCACACATCACCAGTTGCTTTACTGGCTGCTTCCTTTTGCTCAGTCTGCATGAAGAAATAGGAACAGATGTTTTCTTTTTGAAAGGTATATTTGCTCAAGACAGCAATATTATCTGTCCAGTAGCCTACTCAAATCATCAATTATCAATTTTTCCCATTTGGCTACTGAAAGAGAGCTGAAGAGCCTTTGTGATTTAAGCTTCTCCATCTCCATCTTGCATTCTGCAACCCAAGGTATCTTGTGCACTAATTGCTGAATCGTATTTACTTTTCTTGGGTATAGAGCAAAGCTTCTTTTAAACTGGAGGTCAATGTGGCCTACATTATCTTATTGTTATAACAGGTCATAGAAACAGTTTCTTACCATTTGCAATTTGAACCCGTAACTCTTTAAGCTAGTAATATCCCCCCCTTATTTATTTTTGTTAGACCTCATGAATGTCAGTAAGTGAATGACATGCATTCATCGCCTGTATAAATGAAATGATTGGCATTTGATTTTCTGCCTGCTGCCTGCCTAGTGGGATTTCCATTTGGAGCTATTATTTCAGGCTTCTTTGCGCTCGCTCCCCAGTGCATGCAGGCTTTGTAGGTTTTAGCAACCTAAGTATTTCAGATATTAATTCTTCTCACTTGTGAAAACATGATGTATGTTCTAGAGTGCAGCCCCATCAAACTTGTCCAAAGGATACAGCTTAGCTCATGAAACTTTGGAGAAAACTGTTGCTTAGTGTGGGGGTTTCTCTTCTTTTTGTTAATGTATTTCCAAGTGCCACAGGACAGTTTTGTTGCATCCCGCATCCAGGGAAGTGTGTAGGGAGTGGAGGCATGCCTCTGTTTAGTATAGACCAGACTGATGCAGGAGCAACTGTTCCAGGTGACTCAGGTTGACCCTGGACACGTGCATGCCCTGTGCCTCGGGTCTCCCTGTGTTTACTGAGGTGGTGATGATTGGTGGCCGTCAGGGGTGGAACTTGCAATTAGACTATGAAGGAGAGGCTGTTTTAAACGGGGAAAGCTTCAATTCTGGGGCTTGTGCTGGGCTGTCCATGTGTGCTGTGGGTGGGCTGTGTATGCGGACTGACTTTGCGCTAGTAGCTCTTTATCCCTTTAGTGGTTAAACCAAGAACAGCGTCTCCTTGGTCAGCTGCTGCCTCCCAAGTAGCAGGCTAGATCCGCACATGCAAGTGCTGGAGGCTCAGTCTTTTAGAGATGCCCTTAGTTCCAGCCCTGGGCTTATCTTCAGCAAGGACTGTGTTATATACAGAAGCTCTGTCCTGCCTCATAGCATGAGGGTATCGGCAAACTGATACTAAACTACCTGGTGTTCCCCACTACCCTCCCTGGGGCTGCCTTCCTCCTGCTTAACCTACCTCCTCACTCAGATCTGGGCTCACAACCAGGTGAGAAAGATTGTCCCTTTAAAGAGGAGGCAGTAAAAGGGCTCCCTTAATGCTTCTGCTTCCCCTGTAATCTGCAAAAAGCATCTCTTAGGGCACAAGCAGTTGCCAGTTTTTTAAACAGTTACCTGGGTTGTAACACAAGTGATTAAAAAGTGCTCATCATCTTTCAAGGGTACATTAAGGTACCCTATGGTCAGACCTTGTGCGTTGGTGCTTCCCAAAGACACTAGCTCTCATGTGGGATAAATAGCCCAGGTATCATCTTCATAGCCTTAATGTTAAACGTTGTCAATAGCAACACATTGTGGAAGAGACTTGCTTCTCTGTAGTTGGTTGGATGTTTTTGTTGTTTTATAAAGCTGTAGTTAACATAAAGTGTTCTGAGAATGGGGTGCCTCAACTTTCTAAACAAGCTTGCTAGTCTGGCTGGCTGGCAAGCACACAGGTTAGATTTCATCTGCTCATGTTATGTGTATTAGCTCTTGGGGGTTCTTGGATTGATAGGGGAGTAGTTAAAACTGAGGAAAAATGGATGCAGCTGCTGTTGTCTGTCCTAATACTTTCCTACATGCTTTCAGGGGGTGGGGTGGAGGGGTACTTTAAATGTGTTACAATCCTAATGGAAATTTAACTTGTTAAAGTATTTGTGGCTTCACTGGGGAAAAATGCCCTTATTGTGTGTGAAGTTTTCAGTTTGTGAGTCAATGTCATCATTTTACAAGGTTGCTGCGGAAAGTCCTTTTGCTGAGGAAGCTTTGGCAGTGTGAACCTTACTGTTGTTTGGTTTTTGGGTTTGGGTTTTTTTTTTTTTTCCTTTTCTCTTGAAATTAATTGCTTGTTACTTTACTTTTGGTTTCCAGGGTCTTGGTTGGTGCTCCCAAGGCAGAATCTAAATACAGCACCTCTGTGCAGTCCCCAGGAGCAGTGTTTAAATGTCGAGTCCATACCAATCCTGACAGAAGGTGCACAGAACTGGATATGGGTCGAGGTAGGTAGTTACAATGCTTGGGAGGGGGAAGGAGTGGGGGAACCCAAAAAAATAGCATACTCCAAATGGCTAGCAATCCTCCTGACAGCTTCAAAGAGGCCCTAAGACACTGAGAGGGATTCGTCATCCTCTCCTGACAGATTTTGAGCACTGGTAGCAAAGGTGTCTTGTTCTCTTCAGCATTATGAAACAGCATCCCACCTGGCGCTGGTGTCCTCCCAGTGGTCCTGCTCGCTCTCTCCAGCAAGTAACCAGGCAAAGGTGGATTTTTCCATGCTTACCCTGACTTTTCTCCACCTGCTTCAGTGTGGCTTTGCAGTGTGGCGGTGGGTATGTGGCGCTGCTGCCCACTCCAGGCTGGGCTGAAATAAGGGTGTGTGGGACGACCCCAGGCAGTGCGGTGGTGGGCTCATGATGTGTGGTGTTATTAGCAAGGTGGCAATCTGTGGGTTCCCTCGTAATGCAGCAAACCATTCCTTGGGTTTGCTTTTTCTGCTAAAGGAAATAAATTTCTTGGTGAGAGCCGTGCTTGTACGCTATTGCACGCGATCAGGATCGGCTTTGGTTTCTCTGATGTACTGTCTAAATCAGAGGAAGGTGGAGTCCTAAAGTAAGGCTCTGATCCAAAACCTTGTGCTGGATTCTGATGGAGAAGACTGAAGCCTTTTAATACTTTGGTTTTCTTTGTGATATGCGTGTTACTGCTTTGTCTGCCTATTAAAAAGGCATGTTAGTATTGTTCATCTTTCATGACTGAGTCAAGTAGAATTTATTTTTATGAAGCATACACATGTTAAAACAGTGTTTTGGCTAAATTTGATTTGTCCTGCTATTGTAATGTAAACTGTCTCTCATGGGTTTGCGAATAGTGCCTGACAGGACTAAAGGTTTAGGCCCCAATTTTTTTGAAGTGCCCCAGATCTCATTTTCAATAGTAATTTTTGCTTTGATTGCGTTCTGCAAGCAATCTCACATCTCTCCCATTGACTTCAGTTGGATGGTTTATTCAAGTAGAGCTGTGGACGTGCTGTCATAGCTGCTGGCTGTTTGGAACAGGGTCTGTCCTCTACTATGTGTTTGTACGGTGCCTAGTAAGAGTGAGAGCATTGCCCTGATTAATGCATACAGGAGCTAATAATCAGGATGAAAGGGAAAAGAAAAAGCACTGTCGGGCACAGATTTGATGGGCAGTCTCGTTTCTTGTAGGGATTCTTTGGTGGGGGTTTAAAACTCATGTCTCCTTGCCTTGCTGCCTTTTCCCTCTTTGTGTAGGCAATTCTCGGGGCACACTCTGCGGAAAGACCTGCAAAGAAGACAGAGATGATGAATGGATGGGTGTGAGCCTGGCTAGACAGCCGAAGGCTGGTGGAAGTGTACTGGTAAGTCCACTCTTTTCTTTGATCTCATTAAAACCGTTGCTGCTGTCTGACTCTAATGCTAAACACGTCAGGATTAATGTGTGCGGCAGTGACTGACGGAGTCCAGCTTCACAGGCAGCAAATTCTGTAGTCCTTTCCTTCAAGCGGAAGGAAAAGTGAGCCCCAGCCAGAAAGCTTTATTTACAGAGGGAGGACTTCAAAGCTGTCACACCTGACTTGTGTCACCCAAGGGCTTCCTCCTCAATCTGAGGGATTAAATCTTTCAGCCGAATAAATAGAACTTTGTCTGGGAGGTACCTGCTAGTTTTGTTCTTTTTGTCGTTGGCCTGTGTTTATGTAGGGAATATGTACACATCCGTTTTCCCTGAGTGTATGTATTGCATGTCAGAACTTAGAATGAAAAATGTAAGATGAGTCTTTGTGGTGATGTTTTTTTTCTTCATGTATATTAATTTTCCATTAATGAGGCAGAAGAGTTGCGAGTAGAGAAGAGTTAGTTGTGTGCAGGTGGCCTTGTTGTCTTTTGAAATGGTTACCATGCACATAGACAGGTCAAGGAGAGCAGATGTGATCCTTAGGGTGTGGAATTTATCAGAAAACAACATCTCCTGTGTTGGAAAAAAGTAATCGTAAAGAGAGCTAGGCAAGAACCTTTCTAAAATACATGGGTGTATTATGATCAATAATTGTCGGTGTTTACATTCGCGGCTGGGTTGACTGTCTACCTGAGTGACTCTGCCTGCAGGAGTGTTACCCGAAATAAAAAAAAGTTGCAACAAAATGTTTGGGAGTCAGAAACTTGTAGTATGACCCCATCTTCCCAGTGAGATAGGGGATTGCCCTGGTACGTGGCATCAAACTGTCACAAAGCTGCTAGTGAGAAAGATCTTCTACAGTGATTACTGTGCCAACCACCTGTGTAAGGCAAGTGGACAAAGCTGCTTCATTCTAAGTTTTTTTTCTTAATATGTGCTTAGAGTCCAAACATTTACACCCCAAGTCCTTGCACATCAACTTCCCTGTGGGGTACCAGGTGATTTTTGATACCTTTGATAGCACTGTGGTATTTTCTGATTGTCTCTTTTGGTGTACAGCTTGCCAGTGCTATCGGGGCTGGCTGATGCTTTACTTTTCTTGGGTGTCTTAAATGTGTTCAGCACTAGAGAAGGAGGGGAAAAAGAGGGGCATAAATAAAATACGCTGTAAACATGTACAGCAGTGCATAAAATTGAGACAGTCGTGCTAGTGCAGGTAATTCATGTTTTCAAGGGATATCCTGATCTGTATGTGTGTTCCATTTTCCAGTCATCAGGCTGAACCAGACAAATGTCCCACTTTCAGAAGCTGCACATCCACGCTTTCAGGCAACGCTGAGGCATTTTTGTAAAAACAGTATCTTAAGAATAATGTTTTTGTGTATTTTGTTTCAAAGGGGAATGGGTTGCAGCTGATGCTTAGCTGTCATCTGCATAGACAGAAAGCAGCAAAGGAAGGGAAGGCGGGTGGGGAAAACCACCGTGTGACTACCAAGGCTGAGGCCGTCTGCTTGCTGGCTATGGGGATGCTACAAGGGTGAGAGACATGGGCAGGCTGTGAGGGCTTGGACTGGGGCTGGGCGGATAGACATCTCAGACCTAAAGTAGATTAAAAGCAAAATGTAGCTAAAGTGAAATGCACAGCTGGTGGTGTGCTTATTCCAGTGCAGCTTAAGCTGGTAAAATGTCTCCACATACACTGATTTAAGGCGGTCCTAACCCAGCCCTCTGACAAGATTATACTGGCCTTGCCAATTAGATCATGTCCAGATGCTTGAGGACGTTTAAATAACTAATTCTCACCAATATTTATCACCAAAGTGCTCGGTTGTAAACTGCTAATTATACATCTGTGCACATCTGTGTGTAGACAGAGCCTGGAATGAAGGCATATGGATTCCTTCGTGGATGGAAAATACCTGGCTGTTTCAGGGTGGTGTTACTCTCTGTTTGGAGATAACTTTTTAATGAAAAAGATCTGTGACTTTCTCATAAGCAGATGGTTTTAAATACATGTGCTCTTCTAATTTTGAAGATCAGGTTTTCTTTAAAATGCAGCTCTTCGAAGCCCCTACAAGAAACTGGTGTTCTAAAAAGGTGTGTCTGAATGTGTGTTTCTGCGGATTTTTAGCTTTTTAACAAAATTGCTGGCTAACTCTGAGTGATTCTCTGTTATTAGGAGAGTGTGCAGTCTATATTGTCAGGCATTGCAGCTCTGTTTCCTGCATCTTTTCCAGGGATTCCTTTTAAGTTGGAGTGGTGTCTTTGTGGTCAATAGCCCTGGATGGATTTTTTTTTTTTTTTTGCATAAATACAAGTAGTTACTTTTTAAACCTGTGTGAACTATTCATGCTCTTGACACCCTGTGTTAGAGGAATTAGTCCCACAGTTTAACTGTGGATTGTACAAAGAAATTGTTGCTTTTGCTTTGCAACTGCTTAGTGGCTTGAATTTCTGTCTTACCAACATTTCCCCAGTTGCCCCCGTAAGAGTACCACCTTCAGCGGGGAAGGAGCGGAGTGTGCAGGGGGGCTTTAGCTGCTGTTTGGTAAAAAGTGTTTGAGCCTTTATTGTGCCAGGATGTTACTGAGCTGGAGTTTTATGTCTGTGTGATGGACTAAATAGAAAAACGTCAAACAATGAGGATTTAAACAAATGAAGAACCAAGATTAGCTAAAAAAGCTCTGAGTTTGCGGTTCAGTGGCTTCCTGTCCTTGGGTATGCGATCAGTCAATATATGCATTAATCTAAGTGCTGCAGTAATACAGCTGAGATTGCCAGCTCTTTCCAAACTGAAACAGCAAAAGTCCTTCTCTTACTTTTGTTGGGAGAGGAACTGGGGACAGTGCATTATGATTTGGAGATAAGCCACATCCTTCAGTCTTGCTCTTCCTAAATACCTGCCACATCCGTCATTACTCTGCTTTTTATCAAGTGTTGCTATTTTTCGTTTTAAGTAGTTGACTTACTGGCACTTTTAGTGGTGGTGTGTGTGTCTGTAAAAACACCCATCACTGCAGCAAAGCCTAAGTCCTCCTCGGGAAGAGCAAAGCAGAATTCGTCTGACAGTGACACGTTCAAGAAGTCCCTTGTTTGGATTCTGACTTTAGGAGTCAGCGGAGGGCTCTATAAGGACTGTGCGTTCAGGTGGGGCACTCAGCCTCTGAAGTGAAGACTGCGTTTCTCATGGTGCTTTTCCTATGGAGCGAAGTGGCTGCAGTTCTGAAATGGCCTATTCATTATATTGCACTAACGGAGCGTCTGCCATCAACAGACACCTCTGGGTGCTTTGCCTAGAAGCGTTTTATTTTGCTTCAAGGGTTTGCATGCTTTCTCCCCTGTTCTATGGTCGAGCTGGAGCCCGTGCCCTGGCAGCAGCTGCTGAGCACCAAAGTGTGCTGATGGCTTCCTCATTGCACAGGGGCCCACCTATGGCTTGTGTGTATAAAAAAGCATATACCTATCAGTTGTTTGCAATTGCCTTGGGGGGGGAGGGGGCGAGAGAAAAACCCTCTCCACAGCATCAATTTCAGGTGACTCTGTATTCCCAAGACCTCTTCAGAGATGTGCCATTGAAGAAGGAAGGCTATGGCCACCTTTGGTAGCACATCACCTTGCCTGAGCAACATTGAGTAATGCAGGGACTGCATGCTGTAATACAACTAAACAGTTTTGGGAAGGCAGGGGAACCAAAAGCAGCTGTGGATGAGCTTTGCTGTGGCAGGGAGACAAATGTGCTGTTTGACTGGCTGTGGAGAAATGAGTTTTTTGGGGGGAAGAGGAGCTGCCTGGGGAAGCCCCTGGTGAGATAACCAAGGTGGAGCTCATCTCTTGGAGCTATGGTTATAAGCTGTCTGTGGACTTGGGCAGTCAGTGGTAAACTGTAATGTGCCTGAATACACAGCATGTTGAAGGTACAGAAAAGTGATCATTAATAAAAACCAACCAGACTAACAAAACTTGAACCCTAAGAAATCAGAGAAGTGTGCCCAGAACTGCTAAACTGAGCCCATAGCCTCCAGTTGATTTTGAACGCACTTCTTACGCAGCAGCTCCTTTTTTATTTTTTCCCCCTCATTATATTGTTCTATCTTTCTTGGCCTCTGCACCTCGCTCCTGAGCAAAACCTCCTGTTTGTGATGAAATGCTGCTGCTCTCTCTGCCTGTTGTTTATGCTCCTCTGGGAGAGATTAGTATGTTAATTTATGAGAGCCCCATGCAGTTTCTGAGATATAAAAAATGTCGAGGAATTTACAGTATCACAGTCCTTTATTTAGCTTTCCATAATTTTAAAAAATACCCTTGGTCTGTTGCCGTTTGAGTTTATATCTGGAGTTGGGGTTGACTTAACTGTCGCTTTAATGGCATGTGTCTTTATGGTGCTGTCTTTAAAAGGGCTGTGCAAGTGTATATTTGTGCTCACAGCACAGATCTGTCAGGAGAGAAACTTATTTCCTGCTTACTCTGAAAATGAGTGTTTTGTGTGCTGGATTTTTGTTGCTGTTGAATTTTGAATGAGTGGTGCATGGGGATTAAAATCATAACTGAGCTTCCTTAAGGCACATAAGAGTCCCCAAAGCTGTTCTTTGCAGGACTCCTCATGTACTTTTGGCTGTCGAGCAGAGTACCATCAGAAGCATCTCTCGCATCACAGGTGGTAGCCTGTGCCCTGCAGTGCAGACCTTTCCACGACCCCCGGAGTCCCTTGTTATCCCTCTGCAATAGCCATCTTCAGGAGATACGTTCTTCAACTTGAGTACTCGAAGTTAGGAAAGCAATAAATATCAAACTCCAAGTGCAGCACTGCTCACAGCAGAGCAGTCTCTTGCATAGTTGGTTTTGCTCTGTTTCAGTTAAAAAATGAGTACTATTACCATTTTATGTCTTTCTGGGGTGAAGTATATGGGAAGGGGCCTGTGTTGACTGCTGGATTGAATTTTGAGCTTCCCAGTGGTTGATACAGTTCCCAGGTCCTTTACCAGGTAGATGACCCAACTGTGCCTGTCTTATGGATATATATTTTTTTAAACGATTTTCTTGTGGTCCCATGGGCAGCTCTGAGGTGTTGATGCAGAAAAGTGGGGTAGCACAAAGGGAAGGAAGACAAGAGGGTGTCTCATCTGGGGAGGATAGGGTCAAGTGTGGGGATCGTGAAAGAGACTGATGCAAAGCTTCCAGGAAGAGTTGAAAGTATGTGCAGGAGACCATTTGTAGCATAGAGGCTGCTCTGTTCGCATGGGACCAAGCCTTTAATGATAAATTGACACGTCTATGCTGACTTCAGTGACTTAGACCAGCTGGAGATACGGCCCAGCATATGCTCAAGTTCAAAGCCCTTGCTGTTTCACATTTCATTTCCTTTTATTCCACGTAACCCCTCAGCATCAGGCAACTTGTGGTTTGTGCAGCAGCAATGCAGTGTTAATTTTTGGAGCAAGTGGGTTCTGGGAAGGTGTGAGAAAGGCTCCACATTGCTTGTGTGTGTGTGCCTGTGTGTGGCAGTTGTACTAAGCAAATGTCCTGATGAGGCTGCTTTAGCTCTGGTTTTGTGGGGTGTTCTTATTTTTCACTACAAAGGGAAAGACACCCCAATCTCTGCAGCTTATCTGCATCTTGACTGATGTTGCCACTCTTGTTTCCACAAAATCTCTGGCATTTTCATTTAACTTAATTACCATTAAGGAAGGCCCAGCTCTTCTGTCACCAGAAACAAAGCTGCCTTTCCCTCCGAGACAAGCCTACCTTCTAATATGGTATTAGTAACTTTCTGAGGCTTAGCATCCATTCTGATCCTCTTATGTGTATTCTCAATGTCTTTATTCCTGTTTTTCCCCCTTTTCTGGCTTGGCCGGGTTCTGTTAGTGCATCTTCAGTTAGAAAAGCTTCACTGCCCGTGAGCATTCATATACGGTGAGAGATCTTGAAGTCTCCAGCATGGGCTCTGTCTTGCTTTGAGACCTGCTGTTTTCCTAGTCATGCATACATGAAGGCTGAGATCTGAGCTGCCAGGTCAGGCGGTGTCATAAGCTGTGGAAGATAACAGTGAGAAGATACAGTGAGAAGATACTTTATCTAGAAAGAATGGGCTGTAAGCGGGCAACAATGGGGTTGTGGGGGGAAGGTGATTCTGAGATGTCCTGTTCATGTGTGCTCTACCTTGGTCGGAGGGTGCTCCTGTCAATCTGGGTCAATAACACGTGTGATATGATCTGTTTAGGCATGCGCACACCGCTGGAAAAACATCTACTACGAGACAGAGTATATCCTGCCCCACGGCTTCTGCAACATCATTCCCCCCAACCTGCAGCCCAATGGGAGGAGGCTCTTGCCCTGCTACGAAGGTAAGGGTTGTGGGGGCTGGGAGCAGGGCTCACCTCCCTTGCTGTGCTCTCATTTTACAGCTGCTGTATTTTCCCTTTATTTCCAAAACCATCGACTGTAATCCTCACTACTGATATTTTTTTCTTTTTTGATACTATATGTCTGCCCTGTGGCACAGCTGGGGTGGCAGTTGGGTTTTGGATGAGATTGGGAGAGTAGCACAATAACTGAATGGGCCCTGTGATTTACTGTGCATAGTTGCACTTTACTAGAGGAATGATACATTTCTGAACTGTGTTTTTGAGACAGCAGCTCTCTCTTCCCTTACATGAATAGTCATTATACTGATCTGAGCTTGGCTTCTCATGCTTCACTGTGGCACAGAGTAAAAATCCTGAGTTATGTTGCAACAGGGAAACAATTGCCCATCTTATGGAAACACTTTCATTTTTATGATGTGATTTATCAGAGCACTAGAGGAGTGGGGGGAAAGGGCTACTTAATGTCTTCCTCACTTTGGGGGACTTCTGTAGCAGTTACATCAAACTGCTGCTGTGTTTCAGGTGCCATAAGGTGTCTTGGTCACTGTTTGGATGCTGTGAAGGTTTGGTGTGCACTGAGAGGGAGGGCTCCAGCTCTGAGCAGTGGGTGCCTGTGCCTGTTGGTTCTGCTCCAAATCCAAAGTGTCAGTATTTTGATTTTCCAGCTCTCTGGTGCATGTGAGAGACTCTTCTGTCATGTGTCCTTTCCGAAAGACTTTGGAAGACAGTGTCTCCTTGGCCAAGTGCAGTTAACTAAACTGGAGGCACGAGGGCATTGTTAGGAAGAAGACAGTTTCTTGGCCTTCAGAGAAACATTTAGGGGAAGGAATCTTATTGATTTCTCCTGTCTGTTCTAGGCATCATCTTTCCAGTCTTGCCAATAGAAGCCTGAGGAAATGTAGGAGTTCAGGGGCCAAGACACAGCGGGGTTTGTTGTGGGCAAGACCCCTGATTTTGTTTATTTATTTGTTTTTATTTATTTCCCTGCTGGTCAAAGTCGTCAGGAGCCAGCAGCAGACTTGCTGCTGACACTAGTGTGAGAGAGATAAGGTGGTGAATATACCAGCAGGTTCCTCTGCTGCTGGTGAGTGGCCGTGTCCTAGCTTGGTGGCCTATGAAGCCAGCTATGTTACAGAACTAGATCTGCTCCATGGCTACTCTTTCTCCTGAGGCGGTGGCTCCTCATCTCCCTCTGGGCTTTGCTCAGGGAGCTACCTCCACAAGCCCATGCACCTTCTGGAGATGACACACACTCATGCATTGAGCATTTCCCAGCCCTGAAATTGGTCATTATTTGAAATGTGAGGGGTTTTGAGTCTCTTTACCCAGCCATGCCAGCTGCTCTGCAGCAGAATATAAGTAAGCCTTCCTTTTGTGAGCATTGTTCTGCTGTATTTGTCCTTTTTGTTGGTTTTTTTTTTTTTTTCCTCTTGTTCCTCTTGTCAAAATCAGGGTAAGGCCTCACACTTAATGTGCACTTAATGCACTGCAAATCATCCGATATTAACTTTATGGTCAGTGTGCATGCGTGGGGGCATTGCTGGGGCTCCCTCTCAGCCTGTCACCACTCCTGCGCTGCCTTAAAAGCGGCTTGCCTGAAGCCATGGACGAGAGGTGGTTTCTGGAAGAGATGAACCACTTGTGTTTTTCTGTGCGTCATGTCTTTGGAGTAAAACTGGTGCTAATCTGACAGGATATTTGCCAGGAATTGCTAGAAAATAGAAGTGTGTGGGCCTAGTACATGCAGAGCAGCCAGTGGAAAGTTGGCAGGGTTGGTGCACTGTGATGTTGGCTTAATTTCACTCCATGCTAGAGTGAAAATTGGAGGTTTGGGATTGATTTTTCTCCTTCTCCATCAGACATGAAATTACAAAGTATCATGAGGGATGGCTGCATTTTTTTTACTCCCGGATCTTTTAGGTTTCAATAAAACAAGCCTAAAGAGAGAAAGATAGCTGTGGTACGTCATGCAGAGGGATTCGTTGTTTGAGGTTTGCTGTGAAATAAGATTGCAGTCATCCTTATAACTCTTTTCCTTCACTTTCTGGAAGCAGAAGGAGAAATTCTCTGCTGACACTGAGGAACAGCCCAAACAGGAGAAGCAGCGAGTCTGATAGGGGTAATGAATGCAGCGTGTAGTGTAGCTGAAGTGCTGCTATACACAGAGCCTCTGTGGCCATCGCCGGAGGGCTGCCAGAGCTGCAGCTGCAAACCCTGTGCTGGGGAGTGTGCCTTTGCCTTCCGACGTCCCCGGAAGTCCTGGCCTTCTCTGGGACTTGCCATGTGTGAATGGGTACAGTCAGTCTGTGCAGTTTCCAGAAGCCCTGTTGTTAGTGCAGCTAAGGCGATAAGCCCTGTGAGAGGCTGGTGTGGCTGCATGGTCTAGAACGAGAGCTGGCTCTTGCCTAACTGGCAAAGGGTGCAGGCCAGTTGAGTGCACATCGGTCTCTGTCCATCTCGGTGTGTCTGTGTGTGCACCTTGAGATGGATTATTGGCTTGTATAACAAAAGTCTTGTGCCAGAAAGGGAGAAGAGTCTGACCTTGGGACAGATGTACTTAATGCATATGGTATGTTTTCTCTCCACATAAAGCAGGCTTAATAATTAAAGACAAAGGAGGAAATGGAAATTTCCTGACTGGATGGTAGTGGTGCAACAACATAGTAGTCTCAATCCATCTTATTCTTGTCCAGCTTCCCTGAAAGAGCCAGCAGAAGTCTGGAAGCGATTGAGAGCTAATGAGAACAGCAGCAAGCCTAACAGTTAAATGCGATCTCTCTGAGTAGGAACTAGTCTGGTTTATATGAGCTGGATATCCTTTGTGGTATCACTGACTTATGGAGCCACAGTCTTCCAGGCAGTGCCTTCACTTGGTTATTTTTCCCATAGTTTTAATGGCCTTCCAAGAAAAGGGAGCTGCCTCTTCATTCCCCTGATGCATTCAGTTTGCACAAAGGGATGGCTGCATCTACTGTGAGAAGCACAGCTGATGAGGAGGGCTGCGATGGTTTCCTGCTTCTCTGTGGTAGGAGTTGGTGACGAAGGTGGGGAAGACTGATGGACTCTTTGGTTAGTAAATACAGGGAACAGTACATGCTCCCATGCCTCGCCTCCAAAGGGATAAGCAAGTTTTCCCACAGGGTCCAGGCCACATTTGGTTTTCTGGGAGCCATCAAAACATCCCTGCTTTGTGGTGCAAACCCAATACCGCAATGCTAGGTCAGAAAGATTACTACTGTCTTTCTACCATGTGAGGATGGTGGATACAGGATTTTATTGTGCTCTGGAGCTTATGCGATGTTGAAGCATTGGAGTTTGCTTAGAGACTTTTAGTGAGGTTTGCTCGAAGAAGTTGAGGAGCGTTTGCCTTCAGAATCATCACACATTACAGCTTATCCTTTTTGTTTGTATATTGTTTTTATCTGTTCTTCTGCAGCCTTACTTCTCTTATAACCCGAGATCATCATGACTATAAACCACTACGATCTTCTTCTCTTTTTTGCTTTATGTATTTATTCATGGCATGTCTTCAAAGTCACAGAGACAGGCACCTCTTCCAGACTCAGCCTCATCTTTGCTATCAGCTGTTGCCACAGCAGTTAGTTTAGTTAGGCTTCCAGTCTGTGTAATCAGAGGTGCACAGCAGTCTGCAGCTGGACAAGAAAGATCAGTAAAAAAGTGTGAAAACAAAGGATCTGTTCATGACAGCAGTTATGGCCTGGAACTACACGGAAACTACCAAATCCGCTGTATGAACCTGATGCGAGTGTGCTACTCAGGTGTGCAGAAGCTGTGAGCTGACACAGTAACTGCACAATTTCCTAGCCATTTCACTGCATGGGTGGATGACAGTGTTGTATGAGTGACAGGTGTCACTACTGTGCACTGAAGTAGAGGGGAAGTAGAAGCAATCTTGGTTTTCCTGCCTTTTGGGCTTATCCACTGCTTGGGAGAGGTAGACAGGCTCTAGGTAGGAGGCAGAAATCTGTCATGCTGGGAAGTGACTGTCCAGGATGGCTGGCCTGCACTGGGCTGTGACCATGGGTGCATGGGTGGAAAAGAGCCCTGCTTGGGCATGGAGAGAGGTGTATGTTTCTGCAGATGGAGGTTAAGTTGGCTGACAAGGAGGGGTGGTTTTGTGTTGAAAGGGTTATGCTAGAGTCCAGGAGCCCAGTATCTGTCTGGGCTGGGCTGCTGGCTCCCTCAGGAGGGCTGCATCTGTCTGGATCCCCCCAAAGATCAGAGCTGATCTCTGCTCTGTGTCAGTGGAAGTTTAAACGCTCAAAGAGCCTCAATGTCTGGGGTGTTCAGGGCCTCTGTGCTTCCGTTTCCTCTTGCAAAATGTCCCTAAAGCCATTTTCTCTCAGAGGTATTAGGAAAAGAGGTTATATGTGATGTTCTCAGACCCCATGATGATAGGATGAAGTCTTGATACCTGTAGGGAGGAAGGATGGTCATTGCTTTTCATTGTTGCTGTGTGTCGCGCTACTGTAATGGATTAATTTACTCTTTCACAAGCGCTTTTTTTTTTTTTTTTCCCCTCTGAGAAGTATTTATTCAAGTCAAAATGCTTTGATGTCTTTTCTTCAGTTCGCAGAAGCACTGGTTGTATCCAGACTCTGAATTTACTTGAAATGCTGCAATTCCATCTATCCACTGTTACAATCAAAACGTAACTGGCTATTTAAGTGAAATGTAAGGCCGTTAGTTTGAGCAGATAGTACTGACAATACAAGTGACTTAAAAAAACACCAAACCTCACATAAAGCCATCAACAATGTCTGTGGAAGTTTGAGATTCAGTGGATGTACCAGCTCAGTTTATTGTACAACCATGTAAACCACTAAATCTTTCCCATTCCTTATGCATTGCAGTTAATAAAAATTCACTTCATATAAAGAGTAAATTTTTTTTCATTGCCTGACAATGAAAACAATAATGTGTGTGTTTCTGTTCCTTTTCTAATACATATATTGCTGATGAAAATCAGCTGTGTTGTGTCCTCTGATGTTGGGACTTTTGTTTCAAGTTACTCCTAGATCTGAAATTGTTGTGTTTTTTTTTTTTAAAGTAGGCAAAATTTGTATTATAATAAAACAATACTGTGAATTCAATAAGCTTTTTGACTTGATTGGAGAAATGGTTTAATTTTTGTGGATGTACTGTTTTATCAGAAGAAAATCCTCTGTATATCCTAAGCAATTTTGTGTGTTTGTTAAACACTACTACAGGAAGCTACGGATCCGTCTATCACCCTTGAATACCTGCCTTGTTCCATTGCTAAAGTGGCTACTGTTCCTTCTACTGTCCTATAGTTTTGCATGCCCTTGGTTTTTAATTGCAGATGAATTCAGGGGACAGCTCCTGTGAGCTGCATCACTTGCACCTGGAGGCATGTGTGGACAGGGTCTCTCGGGAGGCTGGAGTTATGCAGGGTGATGGTTTGGAGAAATTCAGGCCTTGCCCAAGTCTGTGGCAAAGCTCTGATGGGCTGGGGAAGCTGCTCTCATGTTTCAGGCTTTTATGTGTTGCTGAATTGCAAAAAAAGTTCTGGAAAGCCTGTTTATAAAAAGAGGAGGAGAAATTTGAAAATCTAAAATAAGAAACAAGTCTTATTTGCCTCCCATCCCATGCTCAGGCATTCCCCGCAGTTATCTCGTTATTCGACTGGCCTAAAACTTTCACTACGCAAGTTAAATACCCTATGGCAATTTTCCTCTTTCATTTCAAAGCAAATTGAACCGTGTGGTTTTTTTTTTAAGGAGACACTTAAAGAAGCCATGAGCCAAACATAATACAGTTTTATAGGGAAACAGAACATTTTAAATCCATCAAATTGTCAGTGGAGTCTGCTTGCAGTGGTTGATTAGGGGCATGACACAGAGTCATTGAGGCTTGCTCTCAAAAGAAATATAGACATAAGAAGTCCTCCTTTCTCAAGGCCCAGATTGGGGGCCCAGCTGACTTTTAAGAAGCCATGCCCTGGTCTGGGTTGTGAGTAAGATCTAGCAGGGACCATGGCCTCTGGTGCCTAAAGGGATGGTGGGTGCTGTGGTCTTGTGGTGGGCTGGGGCCTGGCTGGCAGGCTGGGTTGGCCATGGCTGCGCAGCCCTTGGGTTTTCAGGCATGTCACCGTTCTCGCTTGTGCTTCCTGAGCATCAGCCTGAGGCCCTCTAGCTCTCCATCCAAAAAAAAGTATATACTTTAAAGTGGGATTTAAGAAGGCCGTCTCCAAAGCCTTGAGTGTTACAAGCATTACAAAAGCCTCCTGCCAAGTTTAGCAGGTAAGGCAGAAGGATACTTCTAGACCTCCAGGGCCACAGTGGCTAGTGGCGCTTTGTTTCAGTTTACAGTAGGTTAACTGTAAAATCAGGAGGAAGCAAGGTCTGTTCACACTTCAGTACATCATGTAAAAGGAAAACTTTGGCTGGAAGTGAAAGCATCTGAATGGGACAGACGTGGAACTTGCTGTGCGTTTCATCCTATGCAAGGGTGGGAATCCAGCCATAGCAAACGCAGGGCCTTTAGGACATGCACAGCATTATATTTCAGGAAATGCCAGAGAGAGAAACCTCATCTCTTTGGCTCTCTGAGTAAAAAAATGTTCATATCAATAAACAATTTTTTTTTTTTTTTTTTTTCCCAGGCACGGAGTGCTAGCTGGGCTAGCTCTAGGTGGAGAGCTAGTAATTCAGAGCCCTGGTACTTTCTGAATAGCTATGAGCAAATATGGCCTTCAATTCTCAGTGGAATTGTTGTCGTGCATTCCCAATAGGAAACCCAAGTGGGCTTTTGCCCTCCCCGCCCCATCTGCTGGGACACACATCTGCTTTGGCAGGACCCTGCCTAACCCAAGGGCGTTAGGCATTTGGTCTGTAATTTGTGGATCAAGTCACTGTTCTGCATGGTCTCTCCAATTAAACCTCTCCCTGTGCAACTGGTATGACCACAGCAAATTGCTTAAAATCTGAGCATTTTTATAATGGAGGGACTATATGTAATATATGAAGGGGGAACTGGAGGGGTGTGTGTATCTATGTATATACATACAATGTTTTGAATAAATTCTGTGAGAAGGCAGCAGTTTATAATTAATTCCTTTTGATCTTCACTAAGTTAAAATGCAACTCAGAAGGAACTTGCTTGGTTCCAAAGAGGCAATTTATTCGTTGGTTTCGTTAAAAGTTTTATCATTCAGCACTGAGTTAATGGTGCTTCCAAAAAAAAAAAAAAAAAAAAAAAAATTCACAGTTACCAGGCTATGTTGTGAATGTTTTTGGAGCCTGAATTACTGTAATATGCAGAAAGTGGCAATATGCTGAAGCTGTCATTGTAGAGGAAAATCACTTTGTTTCTCTGAGGCAGTGATGGGCCTAAGGATTAAACCTCCTAGTGCAGGATTGGTGGCACTCAGGCATGTACGTCCCCCTTTGCTCCCCCCTTTCCAGCTGTACTGATCTGGCCGCCAGAGGCGGAAGCCTCTTCTGATACACTTTTACTGGGGCGGTAATGCTGCTGTTACCATGTTACTATGACACTGCTTATTTAGCATCACCCTAGGCAGCACACCGGATGTCTCCCCAGTTTTAGGCCCCTTAATTTACCCTCCGGTCTGGGTGAGGATGCTGCCATGGTGCATGTTGGTGGCAGATCCCACGAGCCCTGTGTGCTGGTGTCTCTCTGGGCTGTGTGTGTAGCGATGCAGAAGGCTCAGGTGGAGAGAGTGTGCTGTGCCAGGGATAACCATAGTTTGTTTTCTTCCCTTGTCCCATCCAGAGTACAAGAAGAAGTACGGGGAGGAGCACGGCTCGTGCCAGGCAGGGATTGCAGGCTTCTTCACTGAGGTGAGCAGGGGTGCGCGCATGGAAGGGGTGGGGTTGGTGGGTGTCTCTCCTGCTACATGCCCCAGGAGTGGAGCCTGGAGCACAGCTTGGACAGTGGGCTGAGCGCTGAGCATGGTCCCTTCCTGCTAGCAAACACCCTTCTGCCTCCTCCGACCTCCCGGATGCCTGTATCTTGCATAGCGCCTGCCCAGTGGTTTGTGTGTAGATGTATGTATCTCTCAAGGTCTGTGGATGAGAATGAATGAGTTGACTCTGGGAAATGTTCCCTTCTGGAGAATGTTCCTTGGAATATTTTTATTGTGTACATCCCAAAACTTGCATAGAGATATTTCTGTGTCTAGCATTAACTCTTTACTTTGAGTGATGATATGAAAAAAATTCTCCCTGAGCAGTTTTGTTTATGTATGCGTACATGTGGGTGGGTGTATCTATGTAAATATATATATGCATGTGCACATACATATACATGCGTAAGATAAACACTTTTTTTTCAGTTCTGCTTCAGGTCTTTATTGCAAAAAGATGGGGAAAAAAATAGCACGGTAAAATATATGCTCCAGAGCTATTCTAAATACCAGACTATATTCTTTCCTGGACAGAAGTCTGTCAGCCATGTTTTAGTTATGTCAAGGATGATTTTATTCCTTTATGTACGTATTGATGCTTTTTTGTAATATTTCAGGGTTTGTTTTTGTTTTGTTTTGTTTTTTTAAGAAAAAGAGAAAAGCTTTTTCAGTGTCAGACTTGCTGTTACGGTCATGTCAAGTATATACTCACTCCTAGTTATGTATGCACTGATCTGCAGAATTTATTGTCCAGGCTGATATAAGCAAAATAAAGATGTCCTCTCTGAAATGGCAGAAGGTGATTTCTGAGTAAACTGGGATGGCAGATGATGTTGCCACAGTGACACTGTCTGATAACTCGATGTTCAGCCAGCAGCAGCTGTTTCCTGGCTTGTCTGCGCTCTCCAGCCTGTTTCTGTTCCCATGCTTTAAATCCTTCTTTGCTACACTAGTTCAAAAGGTATCTTTGAACTTTCGTTGCTTCAGCCTGATGGCAGCTCACTGAGCAGGAAACGCAGATAAATGGCTTTTTGGGTCAAACAGGCAAGCCCCTACCATATATTCAGCACTGTTGATGGTAGTCGTTCCTGCCGGTAATTGATCCCTTGACCTGAGGGGCATGGCCCCTCCCAAGGAAAAAGGCTATTGCCAAGCACATCCTGTTCTTCGGTTGGGTTTGCAGTCCTGTCCCCATGGTCTTATTAGAAAAATCCCTTGTTTAATATCTCCCCCTGACTGGAGTCACCCAAAGGGATCCCAGGCATGGGAGCATTTTCGCACAAGGATAGAGTCCACCCATGGCCTTGCGTTGGCTGGAGATGTGAGGGAAAGCACCTGTCCTTATGTCTGTTCCAGGGATGGAGAACTTACCTAGGCTTAATGCTCCCCAGGCTTAATTTGGTCCCTTGCTGAAGGTATTTAAAACAACGTCCAGGAGTAAAGGTTTCCCTGCAAGGATGCTGGGTGCTTTGGGACAATGTTTTCTGAATCTCTCTTGTATGCAAACGTACCTTGGATTTTGATTCAAAAGCGTTATCAATGAGCATCTACCTTTGAATGCTGGATCAAACTTTGTCTGATTTCTAGTCTTTTAAAATACTGAGTCATGCTCAGTGTCTGTAACGAAATATAGCCCAATTATCTCTGAAAGACCAGACCACATCTGAGGACAGAGCAAGGGAGAATGTTCCAACCATGACATAATGCACACCCTGCTTGTTGAGCGCATGACAGCTCTTTAGCATCAAAGTCCTTTGTGCTGTATCCTTCATGATACAGATTGGTGTAGCATGTCAGCCAGCACTGGGGCACAGTCTCTGTCTGACTGGTGGACCTGGCTGGGCTGGGGCACTGCTGTCACTTGGTGTAGGTCTTCTGGAGGGTGGTTGGGAAAAGCAGCAGGTGGAGACAGATTTTTGGGAAGCCTGTTAGCAGGGATAAGTTTGATTGTTAGTAAGGCTGAGGAAGGTCTTCTGTTGAAGCAGCAGAATAGCTGAGCAGAAGTGGCCATAAAAGGGGAGACCACATGCTCTAGGGTGTGCAGTGACCTCCATGTTTGGGAAGAAGGATACTCTCTACGTGCACACAGAATATAGATTGTTAGAAATGGACTTATAATTGGTGGTGTAGGTTAATATCCTCTCCCTTCTCCATTACTGCGTAAAGCATGATTTTTTTGTCTGGTTTTGATTGTTACTTATTTTTTTCCCCTTCCTTTCCCCCACACCCTTCTGTTTTTCCTGTGGTAGGAGCTGGTCATCATGGGGGCACCGGGATCTTATTATTGGACAGGAACTGTCAAAGTACTGAATCTCACTGACAACACGTATTACAAGCTGAATGATGATGCTGTGATAGCCAGGCGGTACACGTACCTTGGTAAGCAGCTCTCTGGAGCTCACTGTGAGAATGGATCAGTCCAACAATGTATTTCAAGGCTTTGATGCTACAAAGTTGACATGGATTTTTTTGGTGGTGTAGAGTATTTTTATGAAAAATGTGAAAGGAAGAATGTCTGAATTAGCTACCTACCTGGAGGGAAATATAAGCAAAGCAGCAGCCAGAATATTCCATTTTTGTTTGCTTGTTTTAAAAAAAAACTTTGCTATAATTTTTTTTTGACTAATATAGAAGATGCATTTCAACTGAAAAGCAGGTTGGATGCTAGTGGGCCTCCTACATTCCTGAAAATTATTTGTCATTGGTTAGGCTGCATCGTCTGCTTACACCTGTCTTTAAAATGGGTACAACACATAGTTACAGAATGTATGTTGCAGCTACAAATTGATCTCAACAAAAATAGCACCATACAAGTGAGTCATGGGCAACAGAAGGACATTGTGAAAGGATTGGCTATAGGTTTGAGTACGTCCTTAACTTGATTTGTTTTACTTGCTCTAAAACCAGGTAGTGTCTCAAAACCACATAATTTAAAGGCTTCCACTTAATCCCCAGTGCCTAAGACTGTTGAGACCTAGAAGGCATTTCAAACAGTCAGTAGTTTGATATTGTTTGACTAAAGACTTGCACTCACCTCTCTTTTTCCCCTTAACCTTTATTCTTTAAAATTACCACTTGGAAGATGCTGCTTTGTGATAGCTGAATGAGGAGTGTGTGTGTGTGTGTGTATATATATATATATGTGTATGTATGTATTTTTGGATATAAATAGGTTTTGCCACTGATAGACCTGAACTATAGCGTTTACCATGTAGACAAGAGCCTCATAATTTACAGCAGAAGACCAAGGCAAATACAAGACAGCCTTAGAAGAAAGGCATTCTTCTTTAGTTATTATATATCATTTTAATACATCAAATAAGACTGAATCTTTGATCTCCTTCTTTCAAATACACTCCTCCTTTCTTTGATCTATCCTCCCATTTTTCTTCTTGCCTAAACAAAAATCTTTTAAGCCATTAACTTCTCTGACCTCTTTGCCTACTGTCCTCCACTCCTCAATGCTCCCCCTCCCCCCACTGACCAAAAAGGCATGTAACTTTCCAAGCCTTCCTGGGCAGTGATTTTAGCCAAAGGAGGGCATTTTTGGCTGGTCGATGTGGGACTGTTGTTCTTTGACGTGATACTTACTCTGCAGTGTTGATGTGGTTTGCTCTGTTTGTGTATGCCTGTTCTCGTTTTACAGCTTTGCTTGCTGGACTTGCGGTTACTGAACTGCTCCCCATACCTTTGTGTGGTCCTAGCCCAGCTCTACACACCTTTCTTCTGTCAGCTTTTGGAAGAGTACTCGAGGCTGTACTGTCAATTCTTACCACCATGAGTTTTTGAGCGGAATATTGGCGCATCCTGATCAAAATGGTAGTTGAATGCTAAAAATGTGCCACCCAAGAGGAGCAGTGAAACCCGATGAGTGTGATCCAGCTGGCTGACCTGTTTCTGAGGCTCTTCCCTTTCATGATTGTTTATTTATTTCCTCTCTTCTCCCACCCCACCCCATCTCCCACTCAGGATATGCGGTGACAGCAGGTCATTTCTCTCAGCCAACTACCACGGATGTTGTAGGAGGAGCTCCTCAGGATGGAGGCATCGGAAAGGTGTGGATTTTTGTCAAACAATTATGTGGTCGAATGCAGCAGGACAAAAATGTAGTACTGATGTAGTTCCCAGGTGTCTGCAAAGCCAAGGGATTTTTGCCTACAGGGTGGTTTTGGAGCACTGAGCAGGGGAGAGGTGAGGTAGTTTGATGAAGTCATCAAATTTTCTTGACCTGTCCCTCCTGGTGGGGTGACATCCCTCACCCTTCCCTTTCCTCTGTCTCCGACCCAATCCTTACAACGGTTATTTTAACGAAACACTGGCAACATTTCTTTCACACTGCTTTTGTTTAGGTTTTGTAATGTATAGGTATCACTTAAACCTTGCCTGGAAACAAATAAAACTTGGAAAAGAGAGTTTTTCTTCTGTCTGTTTTCTTCAGACTTTTGACTGTTTCAGTATTTACTTTAGAGTAGCATCTCTAATAGTATGAAAAGCCATTTACTGGGCGATTTGATGTCCTTCTTAAAATTTCGTAATACATTGATGTTTAGTTGATTAGAGTCTGGGTTTCTGCCAGCTGTACTTAGAAATCTTAGTGATAGTCTCTTGAGGAGGAAAAAAAATGGTTTTCCTGTAGGTGTATGTATGTTCAGTGTCTCCAAAGATGTAAGTAAATGGCGAGATGAAAATGGCTCATGAGCTAGGTGTGCCTGGTGTTCCTGTGCCAAGTACCCGGCTGCTATCGGGGGAGCCGTTTGAGGGTAGAGTGCTGTCACCCTTCTACAATTCTGAACCAAAGATGGAGAAGTGGGAACAGGGAGAGGGAGGGAAGGGATATAAAGGATCTGCTTTTGTCCCTCTTTCTTCAAAATCCAATCCTTTCAGGACCTGCTGCCACCATGTGCTTGAGCAGAGATGTCCTGCAGCCCCCTTCCATCTTCCTCCCTCTGGCTCTCCTGCTTTATACGGACATGAGTTGTAGCTGAGTCATAACAATAAGGAGCAAGAGGTTTCTGCTACCAGGAACACTATCCCTTGGTTTAGGCAGGTTATTTTTGGTAGTAACCATGTCCCAGGGGGTAGCAGGTCAAGTGGGGAAAAATGGAATAGAAGTAGAGGATGGACTTGGTACGTATACCTGATCTGGCATGACTAGGACATATGTGATATAGTAGCAGCACAGTTGCTACTGAGAGGACATGTGTGGGAAAGACATAGTTTCCTTATCCCAGGTGCTCTGTTACAGCTGTTCCAATGCACCTTCCTTCCAACCTGTTCTCTCTGTGGGACAGATTTAATTTCTGTACAAGGAGGGGAAAAAACCAGCTGCTAACATGAGATCCATGAGAAAGCAGCTGGTACTGTAGTTTAAAGGCTACTGCTCTAGTTGCAAAAGCTTCCATTATTCTCCCTTGGCATGGGATGTAAGAATGCATGGCAAAGGGGTGGTAGGAGGTGCTGAGTACATGACATTACGCTGAGCAGTCCTGTTGTGCTTTCCACACTCTCTAATAAGCTAATCCTTTCCAGTTCCCTGATAGAAAGTGATTAGCATTGTCACACCCTTTTCATTGAGGGTAAAGCCAAGATACTTAATGAGGCTGAGTCATTTCTCCAAAGTCATCAAGAGTGTCATTAGTTAAGACTGGGTTTGGAGTCATGACACCTGGCAATGTGTTCTTGGTGCTAAACATACCTCTGCAAAACCTGGAGAGTCCTTTATATCTGGAGCAATTGTCTGCAGTAAATCTGTGCTGTGTTCTCGGCTGAAAACAGCTTTGAACTCTGTCTCACCACCTATTAATAACTTGCCACGTATTAACTATGTCAAGTGCTTGGCTCCGCCACATGGCGTTGGAAGTAAGGGATCCTCTGTCCTGCAAACTCTGTGAGCACCTGCTAGGAGGGAGCCTGACAAATGCTGGAGGAGTCTCAAAGGTTGACTGAGCCAGCCTTTTTGCCAAAAGGAGTCCCTTTCTACAAGCCCTGCATTTTAGGTCTTAAATTTTGGTATAAGATCTGTTATTGAATTTGTATGAATACTTTTATTCCCGAGAGTTCCTGGTTAAACAGTTTCTCGTGTGGAAATGAGCAATGAGTGGACTATGTTTGAATAGTTTTCTGATGTACAGATTGTTTCAGACAGAAATGGGCAAATGCCGTGGGTGGTCTGATTCTACTCTGACCTTTGCTAAAGCATTGTGAGGTTTGCAGTGCAGTATGTGCAGGCATGCGTCCTTGAGAGTGGAAGGCTGGATAGGGGAAGGGGAGCAGGGTTATGCCTTCTCAGCCTTTTGCCCTGATTGTTTCCAGGCAGTCTCCAGATGCCACTTGTTTGAGAGTTGGAACGTTCCAGTACTAGGTGCTTTTTAAATACTCACATGTGCACGTATACACATGGGCACCAAAAAAAAGTAGGCGACAGGATACTATTTAAGCATTTCTCATGATGAGGCCTGTGATTCATCAGGAAAATTGAGAACTCTTTTTTGTCTTTTAAAAGAAGACTGAGCGATAAAAGTGGTCATGAAATTGGATCTTGGCAATAGCCATAGCCATGATCGTGATTTAGATATTGTTTAGAAAGCACAATGCTGTATCATTATGTGCTTCGTAGTTAGTACGAGTTACCTTTTTTCTTTTTTCATTTTTCAGGTTTATATTTTCAGAACAGACAGACGATCAGGCTCTCTAGTAAAGATTTTTCAGGCTTCAGGAAAAAAGGTGAGTTTTTGTGTATGTGTTTTGTTTTAAGGTGTAGAGAAGGGGGAAATGATGGCAGGGTCATCTCAGAACATCATTTTCATTCTACTGCTTCGCTTCATGAGTTGTCAAGCAAATTCTGTTCCTTCTCATCCTCCCAGAAGAGCTAAATCTATTGTACAGAGCAGCTGTAAGCCCTTTCTTCTGTAGCAGTCATGACTGTGATGTCTGCTCAATGCACTCATGTGACTTGAAATTAAAGGTCTTACTGAAAATCGTACTGGTGGTTCTCTTTAGCCTTACGCAACTGTAGCAGCATCTTCTGAGATGTGGGACATGGGGTGCCAGGTGAGCCTAGATGCAGAGATTTCCTCTTGGTAGATGTTGCTGGGAGATGTGGGTAGCCTGGAGCTTAGTTTAATACACAAAGCCCCAATCTGTTTTTCTGTGTCCTGCTGTGACAGGGGGGATATGAGAGTTATGCTGTTTTGTGGAGGAGCAGTTTCATTGCCTCAAGAGATGATGATTTCCCCCTTCCCACCATGAATCAGTCCTGCATTTTGCTCTTAGGACTGATGTCTTGGAGCTGAACTGCCCCATCGCCCCCAAAATTTAGTGAATGCTAGTGAGATCCCCCCATGTGGTGTTGAGTGGGGAACAGCTTGTGTGCTTCGCTGTGGGCTTGCTGGAGATGTGTTGCAGTCAAAACAAAGTGGACAGTATGTCGAACTATAGGTAACAACAAAAAGATGTCTTATTTGGGAATAATGCAGTGAGGAAATGATACCCCTTACCTGGGGTTGCCTGTATTCTCCTGGAAGGAGAGGAAATACAGAAGAAAAGCGTTACTGGTGGCTTCTGTCTTCAGGAAGACCTGCCACCCTCAAAAGGATCTAAAGTGTTTGACTGTATCATCAAGTTGGGACTGTTAGCATGTTTTGTTATTTTTTTCCCAACAAAACACAGTTGCAGTCTTTAAAAACACAGCTGGAACAGGGGAAGACTGCAAGGATGTGTAGGTGGATGGTGTGACTTATACTTTAGGGCCTCCCCAAAATCTGTTTTTCTCTGTGCTAGCAGAATTGCAGACTTCTTGAAAAGACCTCCCAGTTCATCCAGGGCGTCTCCTGTGTTTGATTGCTTCCTGTTCATTTCTTTCCCTGTTAACTTTTAGATGTCCCTAAGGATGTGCTCCTGGAGAACTATTCCTCAGCCTCATAAACAGAGTTATCAGGAAGTTTCCAGGTCTCAGCCAAAAACTTTTGGTTTTCAATTTAATTGCGTTATTCTTCTATTTAACTTAACTGATCAAGTATTTACATCCTCCAAGTACTTCTAGGCTGTCATCTCCTCCTTCCCCATTAACATCTGTCTTCTACGAATTCTCTAAAATCCAATTGAGAATTTCATTTTAAAGAGAAGGCTGTCCTAGGTCACCCTTTCTTTGTTTTATAATTGAAATATAACCAGACGTGGTCAGCAATGAATGCTGTCTGGAAGTGAGCTCTCACAAAATACCATGTCCTTCCCAGTGGTGTGAAAGTTCATTGCTCTGACATTCTTGTTAGACAGATATTAAAACCAGGCTGGTTTCTTCCTTGCCTTTTTTATTCTGGAGGCTGAACTAGGAAATCGAATGCAGACAAGAAAAAAGAAAACGCAGTGCCCTGTTGCAAAACTTAAGTGCACAAACTTCAGGTTCTCACAGCACCATGAACTCAGCCACGCTGCAGACGTACTGTGCTGCAGTTAAGTAAATAACAGCCTTTCCCTGAAAACTGCCTGAATTCATAGCGAAATGTTTCTCATAACTTTCTCTCCTTACCCATGAGAAATTTGTTTTAAAACCTTAGTGGATTAAAAAAATAAACAAATAAAAAATCCACAAGGGAACTTAAGCTACTAAATAACTGGAATCAAATGATATTTGAGGTCTGACCTTAAACCCACACAAACACAAAAATCTGAATTACAAACTGAAATTCTATCCTTAACTCACCCCACTATATATATTTAGTAGCTTTTAAATCTTATGAACTGCATGGAATAGAGTTGCTGCTGCACATCCCTAGCATGCCCAGTAGCTGTAGCTTGTGCATCTAAACTTACCAGGTGTGGAAGGCCGTAGGGTCAGAGATCCGCAATGAAGAATGTAAAACCATGTAAGAAATATGCTTAATTCTTTTTAACGTAAATAATTACTTCTCTAACCGCAATTTTTCCTACTGTGTAAACAGCTCTCAATTTCAAATAGAAGTGGTATCTTTTAATTTTTCCTCTGGAAGTTGCTTTTGATTTTGAGACGATGGTTTGTAGTTGGTCTCAAAGAGCATGCCTTGTGGTACCTTAGTGGAAGTGGATGAAATAAGGGTGGAATGTCATTCTTGATTTTGGTTTCCTTTTTGTGTTTAAATGTGTTTTGAAATTTGTAATGTGGGTGCTGGCTAGGAAATTGTTAGCATTTATTGTTAACCGGTATCAAAAACTATGTAATGAAATTCACGTATATCTTAAATTTAAGTAATTAAGTTTTATCAAGTAGTAATAACTGGAGATTGAAATAACTGGCTTAGGTTTTTCGTGTATCAACTGAAAAGCTTTTATTGAAAGTCTTTGTCAACTCACCTGCTTGTACATAAGAGGAAAGGCTATGATCAAAACCCACAACCAGTACCATTATTTGAAGGTGACTGATACAAATAGAGCAGGGGAAGATAGTCCACAAATAAGAGGTATTTTAGATGCCTCTTTCAATGGATACCCTACCCTTTGCCTATTTTTTTTTCTTTTTTCTTTTCTTTATTTCTTTAAGGTATCCCCAGAAGATTTGTAGTACCCAACTTCAGGTCTCTTCAGGAAGTCTGACACTGGGCATGAATAATCACTAGCCAGGTCTTGGTTTGGGAAACTTATTTTGCTCCTTCCTGGTTTTAAGCATCTGACAAGTGAAAGCTAGTCTAAGAAAACTTTTTAAGTGTCTCACTTAAACATGTCTGAGGGTATAAATTTTACTCTGTTGGTAAAACATCCAAGCTGATGCACTGTTACAGTAAAGGGTTTAATTCCTGCCAGAATTATCCCTTGGACTTTTTCTGTAGGAGTGCTTGTGAGTGATAAAGCGGCAACTCATCATTTGAAATTAAAGAGAAAAAAAAAAGAATGAACGCCTAAATAACTTCCTCCTGTATGTGGGCAGATACTGAATGCTTTGTTGTGACTCGGCTTGGTTACAGATGGGCTCTTACTTTGGCTCCTCCTTATGTGCAGTTGATCTGAACTCTGACGGGTTGTCAGACCTGCTGGTCGGAGCACCTATGTTTTCTGAGATCAGAGATGAGGGTCAAGTCACAGTCTATATCAACAGAGGAAACGTGAGTATGTACAGCAGATGTCTCGGTAGTGGATTGGGTGTGGGTCCAGGCAGGGTAACACTAATGTCCTTCCAGTACTGCATGGTGAAGTGGTGATGTCTCAAATAGTGGGTCTCTGAATGTCTCTAGCAGAACATGAAGTCACAGAAAACTCATCTGGTATCATGGTTTCCCAGACACCAGCCCACATTCATCACAGAGCTGTGAATCTTTTGAGGAGGTCTGGAAAAGTCTCTGGGTTTATGTTGAAACTTGTTGGTATTTGTGGCTTTACGTGAATTTGGTGCCAAAACGAAGTAAGAGTCAGCAGCTTTGACTGAGTTTCCTTTGTGTTTTGGGTGGTCACTAGGACCTACAAATTAGAACACAAATGTCTGGGGATTTAGAAGACCTTGTAAAGAGAAATTGGAGATTGAATTCATGTTATCTTTACATTATGAGTACATTATTACATCTATATATTTACGATATATAGACTTTAGGGGAAGTTCTTATCAACTGGTACTGTTGGATTTCACGTGACCCAACAACAGTCTTGGAAAAGTCTGAACTTTCTTGCATCAGCAAAACCAGATCATTCTTACATTGTATTTATAAGAAAACAATGGTTGCTTATGTATTATTAAATATTTAATATTCAGGTCCCAAAACTGCTGTCTCAAAGTAGGAGCTGTTGTGGACTAAAATTAAATTGGTTTGTTTCGTCAGCATTTTGTGAACTTTAATGCATGGAGTTTGTTTATACTAGACTTAACATTCACCACAAGTCCTGTAGGCAGCATTTAGAAGACTTCAGAACTGGCTTTAGTGTAATTTTATTTTCTATTATCACTACTTTAAATGAGCTTTAGTTTTTCAGTTTCATCCACAGGCTGTCCCACTTCTTATATTGCAGTGTTGCTGATGGGTCCTAAGGATAGGGTCCAGAATGTCAAGCCCGTAATATCTAACATTTCCTGCTCACAGTGACAGAATACATGAGTTCATTTTTATCTTTTATAAAACAATCAAGAAGCTAGTAGGAGTTTCTTGTACTCCTGTAGCAAGAATTACTTGCAGGAACAATGGCTTGCAGGATTGTAGGGTTTATTTTGAGGTTTGGTCATTTTAAGCTGTTTCATCATGCAAGCATCATTGCTCAAGAGGTGGTTGCAGTGGATCAGAGAAGACTGCGTTATAATACAAGCACGCATAGTGATGCTAGGCTTAATACGCTTATATTTTACCGTTTCCTGTGAGGACTGCAAAGAAATCAGTCGCACACACAGACCCGCCTGTCTCCTCTCTGTTGTGTTTCAATTTCATTATGGGGGATTTTCTTAAAGTCAGCAACTCCCTGCAGCCAAGAAAAAGGTTTTATTGCATGTTCCAGAGGGCAGTTTACTCTCATTCACAAAGGGAGAAAAACCAAACCAAAACAACCCTTGAGGTGGGTACAGAGTTGGATTGCATAACTAAATCTTGTTTTCTTGTGGAAATGTTCCTTTTCCCCTGAGGGAAGACTGCAAGAAACTAAAGTTTATGTATCTGACCAGAAGGTGGGTGGGCAAGAAATACCAGCTCTATATAAGGCTTCTCATGGCATAGGAGTACAAGGCTACTTTATTCTGAACTTCCCTCTGTCTCTTTATTGCATTAAGTCCCTTTCCTTATTCTTCATTTCAGAAGGCTTTTGGGGGACTTTGCTTTAATCTTTCTGTCCAATACTTAAAAAGTTTTCAAATCCAATTGTCCAAATGTTCTTTGCTTAGGGGAAAATTCTCCTTAACTTGCTGGGGTTTAGCGGAATGAGCCTGGACTGGGGATTTCACTCCTCGGATGTAATCTGCCAGTAGAGCAAGCTTTGGGCTGTTACATTTTAGGCATCTGGAAACCTTCCTGAGCTCATCAAGGCCGTGACTGCATTTAGTTACATCAATGAGTTATTGTTGAGTTCATTTAGCATTTTGGTTATATAACTCATGTGCTCCTCCCCCCCAGCTTAAAACTAAAAGACAGAAGATGGCTAAAAAACCCAAATAAATTAGATTTTTGGTACCCAGGTGATCTATGTGCAGTGAGGGTGGGAGTCAGACTGCAGCCCTGCCCCAGGTGCTTCCTGCAGTGCCTGGGCATGCTCCCCCCGGGAGGGCTCACCTCGTCCAGGGCTTGCACTATTTCCCTGACCCTCTTTCATTTCCTGCTTGCTAGGGAGTGTTGGAAGAGCAGCTTGTCCTGGACGGTGATGGTGCCTACAACGCACACTTTGGGGAGAGCATGGCCACCCTCGGCGACATCGATGACGACGGCTTCCCAGGTTGGTGCAATTTCCTCCTGGGCCATTTCTTTGGAGATGCCAGTGGGGCTGGTGGCACTGGCAGTCTCCTCGCATGGCTGGGTGACACGTGGCACCTGTTGCTCTTCTGGACCCACCCGGCACCTGGGCTTGTGCTAGGGATAAATGTGCTTGCATAGGATTTGGCTGCTAAAACCTTTTGTAGCTGATTGTCCTTGATGTGGGTTTAGTCCATGTCCCTGCAACTCGCACCCCAGTCTCATTAACATTGATTTGCTTTCCTTGCTGTTGCATTTTCTTCTTCCCTCTATGGTTTATAAAAGGCTTTAGACACCCACGTCCCGAACAAAATAGAAAGCTATATCCAAGTTCTTTCTTCTATCCTGTTTCCTTATGTCTTCGAGGTTTTCCAGTTTTGTTGATGTAATTGTATTTCTTAAGAATGTAATTAAGAAGTAGCTTCTCACTCCCGGTAGCATGTATTCTATTAATAATTTCTCTCCTTTGCTTTATTTTACCCCTGCTCCTTTTGCAGACTACTCAGTGTGGGGCCCCACGCTGTGAGAGCGAAGTGTTGATGCTGACACCTTTTCTGCCCTGATTTCTGGCAGTGCAGATTAAGGACTTCCAAACAAAGGCTGCCTTAGTGTGTGTCTGGATTTATTTCTTCCAGACCGCTCGGGGCTCAGTGTCCCATTAAGCCTAACCCAACCCCACTGCAAGTTGCGCTCACAAATGGTGGGCATACTCTTCCTCTGCACTTGGACATGCATTTGTGTGTTCTTGCTGCTGCTTGTGGGTCAGCTGTGGTGATGCAGAGACTGCAGAGTGAATTGGATCTGTCTGTGGGTATGAAGACTTTGGGAAAAGTTTCATTTTAGCAGCTGTGTAGTCACTAGATCCAACTAGGAGAGGAGAATGGGAGGTGGGATCATTCTTTCTGCAGGAGGTTGCCATTAAATTGGATCAAATCTAATTTGAAAATGTGCTCTCAGCAGCCTTTTTTTTCTTTCCTGCCTGTACATTTAATATACCCAGCCTCATTTTGGAGCCTTATATTTTCAAGCAAACTTAATGTAGCACTACAATAAATGTTTTGCCAATGCTATCTTGGTTCACAAAGCTGATGTCCCCCTGCATTGGAGGTATTGATATGAAAGGATTCTAAATTAACTTTTTAGGCATGGTTGCTGCTTAATAAACACACGTTTTTGTAACAAGCACATGTTTCTAATTAGGCACAACATAGCCACATGTGTGTACAGGTTCATACACGTTCATGTATTTTTTTACATTTATCTTAACATGAGCTCTTGATTGAATCAAGCAAGTTCCTTCTAGCCAGGTTCACATGAGCCACTGATCATCTTCGTTGCGGGGAGCTATTTTCCTATGGATACCTGCCTTCTAAAATGGGGAAAAAGTTGGATTATTGGAGTGGATTGTGAAATGTTTATGATCTGTACTGTTTTACAGATGTTGCCATTGGAGCACCTAAGGAGGATAACTACATAGGAGCAGTATACATTTACCATGGGGATGCCAATGGTATTGTACCTCAGTACTCTATGGTATGTGACAGTAGCGTTTACAATACCTGTGTGAAGTCACTTTACCAGGGCCTGCAGAAATAAACCGTACTTAGGGGTCCCTTTATAGGTAGCCTCATCACAGCTCTACATCCTTTTCTCAGTCCTGGTTTGAAGATGGCTTCTTCCAAAGTTTGTCCATATCTATGCTGTAGGGTAAAGTTATGTTAGTCAGGAGACATTTTTCACTGTCTTTTCTTACAATTTATCATCTGTAGCTTCCTTCTTGAAGCAAACAAAGTCTTAGGGTTTGAATGTCAGTTTTTAGAGATAGTACTGCTGCAGAAGAGAAATGAAAACCCTGGAGAAGCTGAGCGTACAAATTATGGATAGGCCAGTGGGGAGCTGGGAGGTTGCACTTTCTTCCTGCAGAAGCAGGCTTAGTGAGAAAGGTGCTAAGTTTTCTTTTGTGCCCCACAGAAGCCTCTTTACCCATCTTGTTGGCCTTCTCCTTGTGATATGATGATACATCACAAGGCCATTCTTGGGGGCCGTTCCCCTGACCATTATTATGAAGTAAAATCTTGGCTGCGGTGTGCTATAGATTCTTGTGCAGAGATGACACGGTGCAATTTATCTAGTGTAGCGAGGCAGTAGAGAAGAAAAAATTATGCTTGGGCTGCCCAACATGTGTCCCCTAGTCTCTGTCGAGCACATTTCTTTTTTCAGAGAGCCTGAATCTTCCCTCCCTCTGTGTGTTTGAAGTTTGGGGTTTTTTTTGTTTTATTGTTGGGTGGGATCCTTCACGGTCAATCCGTTTAAGGAGCATTAGAGAGTTTAGTGGTTATATTGGAGACTCTTCTAAGACCATAGAAGTTTGGTCCTTCTTCCTTTTACCATGTATATGCCATATGCTGCTTTTTAGAAAAAAGGAAGTTAAATGACTTTATGGATACTTTTAAAATGCACTAATTTGTGGCATGTGGAGGATTCTGTCCATTTCTTTTTTTTGTGATTTATGGGAAAACTTCACATTTTTGAAAGAGCCCAGATCAGCAGGGTGGGAAGTGAAACATCCTGCTCACAATCTCTCCCTCCCCATCAGAGCAAGGCCAACAGACATGGTGCATGCCTCTCTGCTTGGTCACTGGGACAAAGCCCAGCTCAAGAAGGTGGCAGGGTACCGTGGTCATTGACTCTTGATACTATTCCTATCGTTGTCCTGTGTCCTGAGGCAGCTGAGGGGACACCGCTTATGGGCAGTGTCTCTGTGACGTTCCCAATGTCTGCTGCAGGACACCAGACACACCACTGGTTCATCTCCCGTGTGTGACCAAAAAAGCTGTGTAACAACTTCAGATCTTTACCTGCCTGCCCTGGATTTGAACCCAGAGGTGAAAGACTTTTTGTGTCTTGTTACTATACCCCTGAGCTGTCTTAATGCCCTGAATTTCCTTTTTTAAATAAGCTGAGAGAGGTGGAGGGGGAGCCTGCAGAGTATGTGCTTTCATCCTTTTCATTTTGTTAGGTTTCCCCTGCCCCACTTTTTTTCATTTAAATTGCTGATCAATGTTGTTCCCTCACATCCCTTCAGCAGCTTCAGTGGTGGCTATGAGCAGAAGCAGCTTAATTGGCTTTGTGGCCTGCTGTTTTTGTTCATGTCACTTAAAAGCAGAGCAGCGTTATACCTCTGCCTTGTACACTGTAATAGCCTGCAGGTGTTCACTGGGATATTTGCTGGCAGGATTTACCACCCTAACTGGGACCCCCCAAAATGTGATGCAAGTGTAATGTGGGAGGAAGTTACTTCCAATTGTCTTAATCTTATCTGCCCGTGAGTAGGAAAAAGAGATCTGTACATGGTGGAGTACTGATTTCCCTTTAAACTGTCAGGACTGCAGGATATCTTTCTTCCTCTCAACTTCTCTTTTTTTTCCATGAATTTCCTGTGTGAACTTTTGTCCAATATTATGTCCTTTTATGGGAGGGCCAGGAAAAGCTGGTTGCATATCACAAGCTGTGAAACACCACCAACCACCTCAAAATTACCTTGTGAGATTTCTTTCCTCTGTCTGTAACTCCTGTAGTCAGATGTTGGTTTGAGTTCAGGCCTTGCAGTGGTGGCCCAGCATAATGAAGGAGAGCTGTGAGACATCTGATTGCGTTCTTAGAAAATGAGATTTTCATGTATTAATTTTCTTCAGACAAAGGCATTTACCATTCAAACTATTTAGAGAAAGTTTTTGCATTAGTAATTAAAAAAAAAAAAAGCTATGTTAGACATTAATTAGGCTTTGTATTGGGGAGGCAGAAATGAGACACAGCTTCCAAACTGACACAAAACACTGCATGATAGCTGATGGAAACCAGAATTTCCAAGTGATGAAAATTAATCATTTTGACTTTGAGTATGCTGGCAACCTTTGTGAAAAGGAATGGTTGAGCAGCATTTTCTGTTTCAATTAATCATCAATTTTGTTAAGGTGCCACTTAAAACTTTTATTTAAAGAAATGAAGATAGTAGAAAAATAAAAATAATAAAAAAAAAGATAAAATGGCTGTGGTGCAGTGAAATTCCTCCCTCTGCCCACCCCCCACCAAGAAAAATCTGTTTGATGCGTTATTTTGCTTGGGTCTGCATGAGGGTTGTAATGCAGGTGTGTTTTTTGAACCAAATCAACACTGTCCTCCCCCTAGCCCAGAGCAGAAGGGCTTCCTGCAGTCGACGGCCTTCCTGCTCAGGGCTGCGTGGGTGAAGTGTGACCCTGCAGATGTGCAGCACTTCCAGCCCATGGAAAAGAGCCCCGATGACCATGAAAATCAGGCTTGAAGGTTTTTTTGGTTTTTTTTTTGTTTTTGTTTTTGTTTTTTTTTTGGGGGTGTATTTTGTGGTTTGGTGGTTTTTTTGGTTGTGTGTTTTGTTTTTTTTTTTAGGAGGTTTCTTTGTGTCGCTGACTGATCTCACTCTTGTTTTCTGCTGCAGAAGCTGTCTGGGCAAACGATAAACCCAAAGCTGAGGATGTTTGGCCAGTCTGTATCAGGGGGAGTTGATATGGATGGCAATGGTTATCCAGGTATGTCCACTACTCTGGCAGCGAGAGCACTGAGGAGGCACAGCAGCAGGCTAAGAAAACAGCAGAGCTCATTGTTTCCAGGTTGCTGGTTCCTACCATTGCAGGAGGCTGATGAAGCTGAGCATTTTCTTCCTTTTCCTCTCTGTTATTCGAAGCTCCTGATAACAATTTGAGACAATGGCTTAATTCAGGTGTTTCATCAGTCGTGATGAAGGACTGGGATATTGAAGCAGAGGATTTCAGTATCTGGCCATGGGACATTTTTTGAAAGCAGTTCAGTCATGATGACAAGATAAAATGTAGACAATAATGTAATGGTAATAATAAAAATCAGATAATAATATAATGGTAATAATAAAAATCAAACCATGAAGTAGAAGTGAAGTAACATCACAGACCTAATCCTCCAGTGATGACATAATGATATTTGAAGGGACTGTCTGATTTAGGTCAGAAAATTGCTTTTTTTTAGATATATGCTCTGTAATTTAGCAACTGATTTGAGAGCTGAATTCTGTGCCTCCTTTGTAACTGTCTCAATGTTATAAAAATTTCAGATATGACTGTTGGAGCCTTCTTGTCAGACAATGTGGTACTTCTGAGGTGAGATGAATGTCTTTTTCATCTGCTGTTGTCTTTTGTCTTCTTTTTGTCAGTTTTCTTGTTTATGTCTTATGTGGTCTAAGTCCTCCACCACTCCAATTTTCTCCCTAGTTTATTGTGGTCAAAAGAAGCAAGCTGGATTGCTTTTTAAGCAGAACCTTAGACATCCATCAAATAATGCACAATCTAGTTTAAACAGTGTAGTGAGGGATGACAATACATAGGACTCCCAGGGCTATGAAGAAAGCAAAGGGTCACAGCCGGAAGGAGGTATGTTGCATCTCAGTGCTTCTTTAGAAACATTGCTCAGAATTTGTGGGAAGGCTTTTTTAATTGTTCTTACATTTACGTGAAGTAAATAAATTATGATTTAAGGGAACGCAGTTGAGCAAAAAGCCGGCTGCGTATGATGCCAGGATGTAATTTTGCAAGGTATAATGGGACTCGGAGTGAAATTGGAGTCTTCAGGGAAATGAATTATGGAGATGTTTTCAACGCACACAGGATTTGGGCTGCTGTTTTGAATGTTATGAGTGAAGTCAATTGTTTATTTCATCTGATGGAGAGAGGTGGGACAGCTTGGTTCACCAAATTATGCAGGTGGAGAGTTAGAGTAGGAGCGGGCTTGAGATGCACATACCTGGGGAAGAGAATGGGAAGTTTGAATTTTGGCAGTAGCTCTGTTGTTACACTTATTAGTATTTAATAGAAAAATCCTGTCCATACCTAGATGTAATTAGAAGTAGAAGTCACTAGGGACTCCTGCATCTTAATGGAAGATACAGGGATGTGGTGAGATTGGCAAGACAAATGCTAGAGCTGCAGAATGGACGTGCCAGCCTACTTCCTGTTCAAGGCAGGAAAGTCTGGCTCTGTTTCCATTTGAATCTGTTAAAACAGACAGAAAAAGGAGAGGGAGGAAGAAATACTCTTGATGATCAGTGTGGCACGTGGTCAAGTCTTCTGAAGAGTTTTCTGTTGCTTCATCATGCATGCAGAGGAAGACAATTGCTGCTTCCGTGGAAAGGTGTGCTGTGCCCCAAGTGGGATCTTGCAGCCCCACATCTCTGAAACTGCTAGAAAGAAAACTGTGCATTTTTCTCCTGCATTTTTTCACTTGCAGGAGGGGGAAAAGGCAATCTGAAAGGCTTGCTGTGATGTTAAAAATGTACACTGCAACAGTGTGGTGGCCTCTGTCCATGCGTTCAGTCGTGCTTGTGCATTTCAGAGGAAATTAGTGCATGACAGACTGACTTTGTGGGCAGCCTCATTAGTTGCTGCTACTGCCAATTTACAGCGTGTCCCTCTTGCTGTTTAGATTCAGATTAGGATAAAGAAATCAGCTTTCTCTTTTTTTTTTTTTTTTTTTTTTTTTTCTCCCTCACTCCTCCAGAAGCCTTTTTGAAGTCCTTTGGCCAAAACCAACAAATGGTTTGCCAAGTGATATTAAAGGCTTTGGTGGAAGCTGCGGTGACTTGGGGCGGATTGTCGTTGTTGTATTGCTCGCGCGTGTGTATGGCCGTTTGACGGATGCATTGTTTTTTTTCCTCCCAGTGAATAGCAAAGTGAGCTAACATTAAGGAAAAATCACACAGTGCGTCATGGCTGGAGAAATACTTTTTTTTTGGGAGAAGTATTTTTCTAGCTTGGTCCTAGGATTTACTGTTTTATGTTTCCCCAAGGATTTGTAAAGAAGATTTTTTCGAAGGTGTGAAATGATCCTAGGATGCTCACTCTTTTTCCTCCTTACTCCCACCCACCATTTCTCTATATCTTTCTAGGGTTAACATTATCTTCATTCTCCATCTCAAAATGCGAACTTGCACTGTTGTTTCAGGCTGTGGTAAAAGTATCTGAGCAGCTGTCTCAGAGATTGATATGACTCTTGTTCCAGTCAATATGAATTAGGTGTAACCACAATCCCCACTCTCTTCTCTGCCCTCTCCCTCTAAATTAAGTGGCTTGTGGAGTGAGAGTCCTGAAGTGGTTTGCTTATGTGGTCTGGCCTTGCATGGCTGCTGGGACTACCTTAGCAGTGAATCTGGTGGTTGCTGCACTTTTTTTTTTTTTTTTTTTTTTTTTAGTTGGTTTTGGAAGAACATGTTCACGTTGAATATGTACAGAATTGAAACCATGAAGGATAACACTCAGTGAATTTTTGGGATGAAGTCCTGTGCTGTGCATGGCTCGGGAGAGCCTGTGTTTCTAGGTGCTTTTCCCAAGCAAGCTGATGGGGCTTCTGTGTTGTGGGAGAGAGGAGACCCACCTGGGCCCTGATGGCATTCAGCTTGCTCTGCAATTCTGGTGGAGGTTTTCTTCAGCTGGGCATAGTCGTTACAATAACCCAGTGCTGGAGCTGCAAGGGTAGAAAGCTTTCATTCACAGTGCACCGGGTAACTCCTGAGACAGAGTTCAGCAGCATGAAAAGAGTATTCAACCTTACCACTCGCTGGGAGGGAATCAGCCAATTGTTCCTTCCTCCAGAAAATGTGAATGTGGTGTCTGTTGTCCCTCTTATATTGTCAGAAAAATTATGTATGAATCAGTTTCCTACCCCTGTGCTCCCTCCTTGACTTTCAGGTCACAAATTTGACTGTAGACCATTCTCTGGAAACCTAAGATCTTTGCCTACCTGTGCCTGACTGTTCAGGCTGCTTAGCAGGCAGTCTCACTTGCATGAGCTTGTTGTCCTTGGTTGCCATTGTTTACCAAATGACTTTATTTTCCTTTGGCGGAGAACTTCTGTCTGAATGATCACTCAATTTCACTACTTTGTTGATCTCCAGATCCAGGCCTGTCATTACCATGGACATCTCCATTTTCCTGCCCGCGTCCATCAATATCACAGCTCCTCAGTGCCATGATGGCTTGCAGCCGGTGAACTGCCTCAATGTCACAGCCTGCTTTCGCTTCAGTGGCAAGCGTGTTCCTGGCGAAATAGGTAAGGTACCTGTGCCAGCCCTGGGCAGGGGCATACTAGCAGGTTGACCTGGAGTTGAACGCTCCCTTTGGAGTCAGTAACAGTGCTTTTACGTGAAATACGCTATTTCAAGGTGAGCTGGGCTATACAGTTCTAGAAAGTTGGAGCTCCCTGGGAACTTTCTTGGGCATATTTTTACCTTCCAATGAGGCTTATGTAATACTGGGGCAGTTTCTTCCTTACTGCGACAGAGAACACAGAAGTAATTGATGCTTTGTAAGTTCATATTCTCTGTTTACCTCTTGATAACATGTTTCTGTATCCATATCCTTTATCTATGTTATGAGAAAGCAGGTGTGATTTGCCCCAGATTAATAGTTTTTGAAAGTCTCCAAGGAGCTCTTGAAACAGAGCACTATAAATCTGAATTCCTACCAGACATGAGCAAATCCTTTTCTGTGCATCAGTTTACCTGTCTGTAAAATGACTATAAATAGTCCAGTATTTTACTGATGGCAAGAATATCTTCCGGGTTAGTTAGTCTCTGTAAAACACATGGAGTTTCTCAGGTGAATGTAATTGTGCAAGGTGTGTAATTGTGCAAGCCTTTACATCTTGGCTGCATTAAAATATTACTTATGTCTTTTATACTCCTGTGTTTACAAGTCAGGGATATCGTGTGAAGTGGTGATACAGCATTTCTAAATATTGTAAGGTCTGGGTTTAGTTCAGCCACAATGTTTTTTTACCTTCGCCATGCTTTAGAAATGGCAGAGAATTTGCAGTGTGCTGCTCGGGGAAGATCCTCAGCCTCACAGCATGCTGCATCTCTGCAGTGGGTCTGGTGAGGAGCCGAGGGAAGCAGTGTCTCCTCCTGCTCTGTGCCCCGGCCTTTCTTGAGAAGGGTGAGAGTTGCATCTGTGCATCCCAGTATGCAGAGCCTGCTGCAGTATTTGGATTTTAAATGAGTTGGAGAAGAAAAAGACTTCTTGCTACTTCTCCTGCCAGTCACATGGAGCAAGAACTACAAGCTGCTTGTTGAAGTTGCTTTCTGCAGTTTGTCTCTTTATCACCGGAACAGCTCAAACAAGTAGAGTTACTAAATTTAAGGTTCGTCTGGATTCTAACATACTTGTGCAACTGAGACTTTAATTTTTTATTTTTACACTTTTTCCTTCCTTGTAATTGATAAGTCTTAGGAGACAGATACATGCTTTGATAAAGTATTATTTTGTAATGCCTGCTACTCTGTCAGTTAAGAAAACATTTATCTCCAAGTGATTCCTTTCTGAAACCACTGAATAGATTTTCTGAATATCTAGGTTTTCTTATGTTCCTGGGCGTACTGTTTAAAATGTTTCCTCTGCTTTTATTTTGTATCTCTGGACCTGTGGCGAAGAAGTGAGCTGCCTTTTTTTTCCAGTCTAAGTATCTGTTCCCCTGGTTTGCAGAAGACCTATCTTCCTGCTCATCATGTCTTATAAGAGCCAGTTGAATTCCCCTGTGTTGTCATAGACTGTAGTCCCAGTGATTTATTGTGGTGAAAGCACATGTGCATCTTCTTTGGCGAGTAACATCCATCTCATTACAAGGAATTTTTTTACTATTAAGTAGATGATTATAAAACTTCCAACCATTGTCCTTTTATACAATGCTTCTAGCAAAGTGATTTGTCTTGAAAATAATGTAGCCAGAACTATCTGACTGTGTAAAACCCCCTGGGGATATGATTTGGATAAAATATCTCAAATAAGCTTTCAATTTGTAATCTAGCAGGCCATTTTAATTATATTGCAGCTGAAGAGTATCAATTAACAAAGGGTGGAACAATTCATATGATTATTGCAACAGTTCCTCTCCTGCGTGGTTAAATGTGGGGGCAAAAATAGAATAGCCCTGTAAGTACATCATTGTCCAGTTTGGACTCTGAAAGGCATATGGAGATGTTAAAATGCTATGGCGAAGTTTTGTGGCTGAAAGTGTTTGGATCATCTTGTCTTCAGATGTCTGGGGGCAGTCTGTTAAGACAGCGAGAACACAGTGCTCACCGGGAGCTCCGCTCCACTAAGGCTTGTCAGCACGGATGCTCAAGCCTGCTGCTTACTAGTGAAAAGCTGGTCATTGCTCCTGCTTTTGGGCAGCTGAAGTTGGTCACCTACTATACAACGTTTAGAAAGTCACGCTGAACATGCAGGCAGCATTCTTCTGTGGCAGATGTGTGTCTTCAATGCTTATTTGAACATGTGGTTATTTTGTTAACTGGCATGTGAAGGATAGTTGTCTTAATCTAGCACTGCATATAAACCACCCTCTTTTTTTAAAAAATTTTTTTTTCTTCTCAAGGTAGTTGCGATACTACTGGTCATGTAACAACTATCTGAGGATCTGCATTTATTGATACTGCTTGATACTGCCATCTGTTTTGTGGATACTGTTTGCAGACTATGGTCTTCAGAAGTATGAATTTATTGCTGAAATGGTTTTGTCTGAACAAAGAGCCGTGCCCAAGTGAAGCATGTGCTCTGCACTGTGTGCCAGGCATTGTTTGACCCTTTGCTCTGCCTCAGCGCTTGCTGGAGAGCTGGGTGTCTAGTTGTACGGCGACCGACAGAGACAGCCTCTGGTACATCTTGGATGTGTGAGAAATAAGGCATTTACTCTTAAATAAGTAAATTAAGAAATAAGTTTTTACTCTTTCACCTTGAAATCTTACTCAGGCTGTTCCTCCTTCACTGGAGGGGCCATTGCTTTGTCTCCCCTGGTGTCTCCATATCTGCAGGAAAGTCAGGGATGAGAGAAAGGCTTTCCTAGCCTGGATGAGCAAGCTTCAGCCTGTTCAGATCATGCGCTTTGGGTGACCAGGACAAGAAAACAGAGGCTACTGGCATCTTTGTGCATCAAGTGCTGCTTCTGCATTCATCCTTGCAGGAGAATGAAAGTAAATTTGTGCCCAGTCTGAATAATTTTCTCTACGATAATATCACCAACAATAATAACAGTGCCAATGGGAGCATTAGGTGAATTTTAGTGTCTATGAAAATGAAGGGGTTTGGACATTTGGCTAGAGTTAGGCAGATGCATTAGAAACTGCTTCAAAGTTTCTCCTGTAACCTTCACTTAAGATGTGGATCGCTTATGTTGATCCATTTCTGGGACTGTCTTCATATTCCAATGTCACCTGAAAGACTGGTGTGAGATCTAGTGTGGGATAACAGGTTGTTTGATATTTTCACTTTGTTTGAATATGTTTCTAGGACTGAAGAAACATGCCTGATCGAAACCTGACAAAAGTGGGCATTCCTCTTCTTACCTGTATCCTGCTGTAGTTTGAATGCAGGAGTATTATTTCTGTCTGTCTCTCATTTTTCCAGTCTGCTTGGATGCAGGCCTGAGTCAGTGCTATCCTCTGAACACCTCAGAAGCAGGGGTGCTGTGGGGGTGTGCTCAGTGTAGGGAGCAGTGAGGATGGCTCCCTGCTTAGAAGCTAGGGACAGCACTATGAGAGAGTATTTGAAACAAGGTTTGGAGGGAAAAGGAAAGCTTTTTGGAAGAAGGTGGGAGGAATGTTGTATGTATGTTGTCATTTGCTAGGGCAATTTTTTTTTTAAATACTTTCGTTACTTAAGAATTTTCTCTGCAAGCAAAGTTCATGAATCACTTTCTCATAATTACTGGTAGAGACAGCAAAGAAACACATTCCTCTTCCAATGGCTTTTTGTTGCTATTTAGTAAGTTCTTCATTTTCTCCATGTGGTGCCTCCCCTCCTCCACCCAGGGATCACTGCTATAGCTAGTAGTTTAACAAGCCCTTATGGATGAGCTTGTTCATGCTGAGAATTTTGCTGCCTGCTTTTTGTGTGGTGTAGCATAATCTAACTGGTTGACTAAGGGATGTGCCAGGTGGCTCAGGGTGTGTATCCCCTCCATTAGCACAGCAAGCTGTGATTTCTGTTTTAGGTCATGGGATACCACTGCCCAGTTTCAATCCCTCCTCACTCCTCTCTGCTTCGGGGGTTGACTCTTGTGTCATGAGTATGTATGCACCACTTAGGATGAAAATCTGTTATAAAATACCTGCTGCCAATTACTTGGTGCATCGGTTACTGGCTGGAGTAACTTGCATGATCTGCTGGCTGGTGGTCCTCTTGCAGGTATGACCAATAATTTCTCAGAGGAACTGTTATCAAAGCTTTTAGGCATTTAACTTTAGTTATGGAAAAGGATTAGTCATTAGAAGAATCAAGCCATTCATCTGAGCTCGTCAAATCCATGCCAGAGTTTTATTTCATCATGTGAAGCTGGGTGGGCAGATGCTCAGAAACATTTCTAAATAGAGGTGCTTAAAGCTGCTGGATAAATACTTGAAGGCATTACCTGGAAGAGTTAATTTGCTAGTGAAAGCTTGCATCCCCATCTCCTACTGGAGTGAGCAGGGGGAACTCACACCACCAGCAGTGCTAAGTTTGGCCTGTTACCTCCCTACCCTGGTTGCTTTTTGGAAGCAATGAAACTGGGGAGGGGAAAAAAAAACCTTACTCATGATATTTCAGTTTTTCCACTGATGTGACATCGTTGGATACAACATAGAAACAAGTTGTCAAAATAAAGGGGAAGCAGGGTGGAGGACGGGAACTGTGCTGTTTGATTGAAAACATCCACTGCCATTTCGGAGAGATGGTAGCTGGGATTGCTTTGCTCGGAGGCCGGGTACAGGGCTCACGTTGGGATGCATCTCGCGCCTGCAGCAAGGAATTGTTCAGTGTCGGTAATACATTGTGCTTCCTTCAGGGAGCCTCTGAGCCTCCCTCGGTGCCCCTTGCAAGCTCTGCAGCCCTGCCTTCCTTTGGTGCTCCTCCTTTGAAGAGAGCTGCATCTCCCTGTGGGGCTTTTTGCCTCTGCCTACGCAGGGTAACGGGTTGTCTTGTCTTTATTCTTGGGACGCCGGTGCAGTCCTCAGCATGTGTGTGTGCATGTGAGGTCTTGAAAGCGGAAGGGAGACAATTGGGGTTGGGTGTGGGATATACACACTTCAAAAACAGAAGAAAAAAAAAGTTAAAGAGACTGCTGGGATTTTAAACAGGCTAAACCTGGTGTTGCTGTTTAGGTAATGCTTTTTAGTGGGACTGAACAAATACCACTTCGGTGAGAGTTTTTGATGCTGAGAGTATGAGAGTTTGAAACAACTTTCAAGGCATTATCCCTCTAGAGCAAGTTATTCTGCCAAAAGCAAGCAAAAAAAACAGTTCAGGTGAAGCTTGTGATGGTAGTTATGCTGATTCCTCAGCTGTGGCTTCTCTTACTAGCTAGGCTATGTCTCTGGTTGCTTTGTGTGAACTTTTGAGTGAGCTTTTCGTCAGGATGCAACACATTTCAAATGAAACTAAGGTTGCTTTGAATTATGTGAATTGTGAATATTCACAAAGACTTTTGCACTGGATTTTACAACATTTTTAAATAAATTCTTCAAAGTAGTGCGATTTTGGTGGAGAAATGATTTGAGATGATAGCTTTGGCAGCCATGTTAATTTAGAGATATTAGTATTTTCATTGATTTTAAGAAAAAATACCGCCACAAAGCTAAATAAAAACACTCCAAAACCCAGCAAAGACCCCTTGCTGAAACTTGGTGTAGAAGACCTCAGTCCAAGAATGTGTTACATTTACATTGATTGTTTGTAAAATTCTGACTTTAAAAATGTTTACATTGATGGGGAATATATTATCTGGCATCAATCATTTAGGACTTGAAACATAAATAAAAGCCAAAGCAATAATTTGGCAGGCAACCTACATATATAATGAATCAGCACAGGAGCTGGTGCTGGCTGTCGTTTAAGAAGATTATCAACTAATTAAGCCATTTATAGTGAGCCAATCTTATGGTACTCCCATTATTGCCCGGATAGAAGCTGAAAACAAAACAGGCCATGGTCTGTGATGAGTGAAAGGACCTCACAGTCAGTGTTTCTCTTGTCTGTAGACAGCAGCAGAACAAGTGTTCATGCTTCTGTTGCAGTTTCATTGCTCCTGTTATTGCATTTACCAACAGGAAAGGTATAGACAGCTTGGAGCATTCAATCACTGTGCAGCTACTCTAGGTCACTAAGTTTTCTTTTGAACCCAGATACATGTAGTCATGAACTGACTGATTATGTTAAGCTGTCTATCCCGTAGAACAGTAGGAAACAGGATTTACAGAGATATAGCTCATTAGTCTCTGGGTGTGTCTTCTATAAACTGCCAGGGATGTGCAGCATCTAAGAGGGGGATAGTGAGTGCAAGGCAGTGACCTAAAGTTAGAGTCTAAATGCTAAGATGACTGCAAATCAGCAAAAGTAATTGTCAGGAAGTGCCACATCCTGGTCGACCTTTGTATGGTTTGTGCTGTTCTAGAAGGAAAACAAAGCTTGAGGCTGCTGTTGTTTGTTTGCTGCTGTTGTCATTTGTGTTTGTGTTTTTGCTTTTTCTGCTAGCAACGTAGCTTAAGCATCTTGGTTTTGTGATGTTTTGTTTTTTCATTAAGTGTACGTGTCTACTAGATGTATTTTTACACATCATTTCCTACGGGAAAGGATGGGTTGGGGGACTTAGTGACATGAAACCTGTGAGTACATTAGTAATTGGATTTGGTTTTGTGCAGCCGCAGGAAACTTAATGATTGATTGAGGGGCCTGCAAGGGTTGACCTTTCTTCAAGCACACATGCCCCCGAGGGCAACAGGATCCATTGATGGGTGGCTAGAAAAAAATCTATTGTTCACTGACATCCTTTGTTTTCTTCTTCTTCCTTTTTAAAACAGGTCTGAATTATAACTTGACTGCTGATGTGGCAAAGAAGGAAAAGAGCCAGCAACTCAGAGTTTACTTTGTGACTTCTGGAGAGACAGCGGGGCAGATCACAGAGAAGTTACAACTGTCGTACATGCAGGAAAAGTGCGAGCATTACCTAGCATATGTCAAGGTCGGTTCATTCCTGTCCTTACTTACGCTGGCCTCACTGCAACTCCACTTTTTTTTTTTTTTAAATATTCAACCAATTAAAGTTGTGCTGCTTGGCTTCAGATCTTCTTTGTTTGTCTGACAGGTGGATGAAATTTTTTGGGTGGAAGCTCAGAACTTCTTCCTTGGCATGATTTGTCAGTCTGAGCATGATCAGGCCTTCAGGACCTGGTGCCAGCAATATGTCTTTTATTTACTTTCATCAGGCACACTTGCAGGGGATTTCTTTCTTATTTTGGCTTGGTATATTGCTACATTTGTTATACTCAAAATAAGGAGGCAAAGTTTTGCTTTGGCAGGAGCAGCAGGTTTAGTGTTTGGTTTTGTGTAAGGTCTGACTGCACAAGGGACTGGTGATGCACTCTGCATGGGAATGACGCATAATATGGGGTCTGTCCTGAAGCACTTGAGCTCTTGGGTCTGAAAAGCGCCCTGGATTTCATCTGGGCTTGAAAATAGCAGTGGGATAACTTAATTTCACATGTGTCATGGTCCTAGAGATACAGAGAGCATTTTCCAGACATGCTGGGACATAGAGACGGTCTGTTCTTCTTGTGGCAAACTCTTTGGGGTCTACTAGGACTGTAGTTATCTTCGCTTGGCAGCTGTTGTTGAAGAAATGTCACTCAGGTGCCATTCTGTTTGCAAAGTAATCACAATAGTTTTCTTCTCATCTGAGAAATGTACAGAATGGATTTGAGAATTATATAGGAAGGAGATGTACCTTTTAAACTGCGTATGTCTTACAAGCACTAATCTGTATCACCAGTCTAAAGGACAGTATGTGGCAATATGGTTGTGTGGCTGAGTTGCATATTCTCCTTACTGAAGGACATATTCCCATAGTATGACCTATGTCCTAAATTCAGTGGATATCACTTGGCACTGTCTTGTTTTGAGAATCCAGCAGGCCCAGACATCCCTAAGTGTATAAACTTTTCCAGGAAGCTTCTTTGTCCCTAAAAACTGTGAGAATGGGAGATAAGATTCATCTTTTGACTTCACTGACGTTTTGTGCATGGCTATTGAGAGAAAATAAAATAAATAAAGGGACCACCAAGGAGGAAATGATGTCCTGTTGAGTGGATCTCTGGGAAGAGACTAGATATCTTTTTTTGTTTGTTTCTGGAACAACCTTTACTTTATGGTGTGGAAAAACTCCTTAAATGTAGACATATGAGACTACCATTACTTAGAAAATGTGGCTGTGAGTTTACTAATTCTGTTTTTTCTCAAATGAGCACATTGGTTCAGTTTTAATAAGTTGAGTTCAGATGAAAAGGAGCATGTCCTTTTCTATCTTAACCTAATAACGATTCCTTTCAGATTAGTCCTGTTGTAGTTTTTGGGTACTGCATTGAATTCGTTAAAGAGCAACATATGCCCAGGAAACTATTTGATTTATTGTGGCATTTCTAGCTGATGTTGGGAATGCAAAGGTATGAACTATTGTTCTGGAGAATTCCTGGGAAATTTGACTTTTATAGGCAAGAGAAACATTTAAACGTGTTTAAACGTAACAACAACTTAAAGCAAACCAGCTGGTTAACAAACAAGGCTACTGGCTTTCTATATGATATAAGCACCTATTTTTCACAGTTGGAAGAATAGCAGGAAGTGTCATTTTTTTGTGTAAGGGAGAATGCAAAGTAGTGAAGAAAGATAATCCCTGTGCTTTCATGAGAAAGGTGATATGATCCACGAGGCTACATGACATTAGAAACATCAAAGAGAGCCCTGCAGACTCTGGAGGAGTGGAAATGGGGTCATGATCTTTCACTGCTATCCTTAAGTAACAGCTAGTAAAACAAAAACCCTGAAAAACAAACAAAAAAACCCCTCTCCAAACTCCAACTGGAAACATCCTTGATTGCATAGTTTTGTGATGGAATGGGTGATAAAAGATTTGGCCTTAAAATAGATGAAGTATTTCACTTAGACGTTACTCTTTCCTTTTATTTTACTGTATGCGTTATGAATTTGCCTCCATGGCAAATTGAATTATAAGAATTGCAGAATAGTTGGGGTTGGAAGGGACCTGTAGAGGTCATCTAGTCCAACACCCCTGCAGGGAGCAAGGACATCTTTAGCTACATCTCATTGCTCAAAGCTGTTTGCATTTGAGCTGTTTGCAGTTCCATCCTTAATCTGTTCACTTTTTTGTTGTTCAGTTGAATCCCCGGTAACAGATCAGATTATATGGTAACATGAGGATGTCAGTTCTGGACTGCCTGTGATCAAGGACAGAGAAGCTATTTGGACTTCTGCGTGACCTCATACGCTAGCTTGACAAGCCCTACTAGGTAAATAAGGTGTCTAGTCCAAATGGCATGGAGCAGAGCTCTGTAGGTTGTGTTTAAATGGAAGCCTGTGTCAGGCCTTGCTGGTTGACCTTATATTACCAACATGTAGTTCTAATATGTTGGAGGCATAAAAGAGAAGGACTGAGAAGTCATGGAAAAACTAGACCTATACAAGGTTGCTGTGATTTCTTTTGACAGATTTGATCTCAAGAGACCCCGATGAAACTGAGTGCTGAAAGAGTTGCAGGCTGCAAATAAACTGACAGAGATAATCATTATATTATTTGCAGTTTATAAGTCTCATTGTTTTGAGTTTGACTCCTTTCCTATTTGTGGTCCCCTTTCAGGAGAGGAGCTACTGTTCTTATTGCTGCTAATGAATTTGAGTGTTACAGTTTGTCTTTCCTCATAATTGCATGACTGAGATAAATAGATCTCAGGTCTGTAGGGTAAGTGTAGCTCAGAACTTGATCTTGTACGAGGCAGGCTACTGAATTACAGTTCAGGTTGCTAGAATTATGGTAATTCATGAGAAAATGTGTTTTTCTGGTTGAGAACAGAGAATGAAATGGAAATGCTTTGGGACTTGAAAATGCTTTGAGTCTGGTTTTGTAGTGGGTGTGGGGAAGTAGAGGAGAGATGCAGTTTTCTGATTTTTCTTTCTTTCCCCTCCCCTCTCCATTGGAACCTGTTTGATGGTTTCTCATTAAGAAACTTTAATTCTTTATTATACCTAGACAGTAATTCCAATACACGCAGCGCCTCAGGTGTCATCTGCAAAAGCTGCATTTGTTTTAACTTAAACGACCTTTGGAGGTTTGACTGATGTGTTCAGTAGAAAATGGACAGCTCTGGTGCAAGTGGCCATTAATTGAGAAGTTCAGGAGCATCGCCGATTATCTTATGTCAGCACGTAGCTGATCTACACTGTCTCTTGGGAGGTGCTCTGCTGCTGGACAGTTCCTTCTCCGTCCACCCAGGGATGATGGTGCTGCCAGTCTCCTTCAATGGTGGTAAAACTAGTGACAGGAGATAAATACATTACGTGGTAACCTTCCCTCAATATTGCTGGAGGAAAATGAAGCAAAAGTCTGATTAACTTTTTTTAAAATGGATTTGGCTTTTGGTAGAAGGAACAGCAAACATAAATGTGAGAAAATGGAACGTGGTACCGAGAGGAGAAGGAGCAGAGGTGCAGAAGTGGGTAGAAACAGCAAAGATGAAGAAAGTAAATGGGTTTGGAGGCTTTACAAGTGTCGTCTTTATCTTACTTAATATCTGGGCTGGCAGCTGAAATGTAGTTTTCTCTTGGGAAATGCACTCGTTTGATGGTGCTCAAAAGACTTGAGCTGTATGTTTAAGACGTGCTGTGATCAGGGCATCAGCGCTGAGGAAACGTTGTTTCGCATTTCCAGCAACTGCCCTGGTTGTTTCCTGCTTATGTGGGCTTCTCTAGTATTTAAGATAGATTTGCCTGTGGATAGGATGAGAGAATTTGATGCAAAGCACATTGTGCCTGCGGATCTATGCGGAGTCAGATCTCATCTTCCTTGATTTATCGCGAAGGTGTAATGGTGATGGTGGCGAAAGCCCCTTGTACCATGCCTGCATTTATTAAGTATCACTGTCTGGTTTCTTACCCCACCACGGGCCAGGCAGCTGGGCTGCCTGTTGCTACTAGTCACTGCTGTCTGTGTGCAGAGTGAACCTTGTAGCTTCAAACACCATCAGCAGTCCTGGCACCTGATTAAACCAGACACAGCATTTATATTTTCCAGAGATCCTTATCTTGGTGACTGACTGGTTGTTTTAAGCAGTCTCACGTTGCTCATTGTATTAACTCTTAATGAATCCGGCCATAGCTCATGGGGAGGATGGGGCTGAGAAGCAGCAGAGGAGCAGTGACAGCAAAGGCTTTTCTTAACTGCCTGTAGGTGAGGAGCTCATGCTGTGTTTGTACAGGCAGGTTTGGAATAAAATGTTGCCTTTTCAGCAGAAATTGCACAGCTATGTTTTGTTCACTGCTGAATTCTGCAGCCAAGAATTTCCCTTTTTATAAGTATATTTCTGGCCTTTATCTGCTATGCGTCACTGTTACTTCGGGTCTCTAAAGATACTCTGGGCTGCTGATCTCACACAACTTCATTTCTAGTGCCTGCCAGTTTTAGTCACTGTCTGTGGTTGTGATTGTTTCTCCCTCTGTAGCTCTTTGATCTCATCTGAGGGGACACACATGCATGTATTCAAGTCTTACTCTTAATCCATAGCAATTTTTTTTCCTAAAGTCTGGGTAGCAAAGCATTCAGTCTCACCATCACATGTGAGGTAGGGATGGTATAATTTTGATTCGCAAGATGAGCTTTCTTCTGAAAGCTGTCTGCCTGTGAATTAGCATCTCTATGTTAAGGTTTGGCTGGTAGTGTTGCAGGATAAAGAGGGACAGCCAGAGACACTGAAGAGTTTATTGTGAAGTTTTGGGGTTTTGTTTTGTGGGGTTTTTTTTTAACTTAATTTTTTTTTTTTTTTTGAATGGGGCTGGTTTCTCCCATACTGTCAACACAGAGCCTTTTGGAGAGGGAGCATTATCGACAGAGCTTCTGCTGAAGCACTCTTAAGTTTGGTGGCTCCAGGCTGAGCCTGGTTACTCACACTTGGCGAG